GACAAAAATACACTGTTATATACATGTACCGTGTATTTTTTGTATACACATGTACATTAAAAGAGACTTCGCCAGTTGTGGAAGGAGGGTCTGCCCTAGAATTTGACCCCCACTTTTTTCTGTCTCAACTGATGACATATAGGCTGTTAGACAACTTGGTGAATTTTTTTCGAAAAATTCGTCATCATGACCGAGATATGACACATATATTGAATTTCGTTTAATGTGATATATTGTGCTAATTTATCGCCAAAACATCGCAGAACTGAGTACACATACGTTATAGGCCATGCTGAACAACTTTGTTATCGACCCCAAGTTTGTCAGGTTACTGTAACATACCGTAACGCCCATGCTTGATCAATAAATCTCGATTTTCTCGATTTTTTTCAATAATTTTCTCGGAATTTTTTTGCATTTTTGGAATCAGCATCAAATTCTGCATCGGATAGACTATATGCGCGTCTCCAGATAGGTGTACAAAAATGTCGTGGCGCAACCGGTAGTGGGTCGGACTACCATTCAAAAGGTCCCGGGTTCGAGTCCGGGTGGAAGCAAAAACGCTCAAACGCGCTGGAAATTGTACCAAAACAGTTTTAACCTATTGGAACTGTGTTTAAAATAAATAATAATTAAAATTGTAGCCTAAAAAGGCTAAATTTTGGATTTTACGAAATTTTTGAAAATCATGATTTTAGTGGGCCCAAATCTGCCGAAGAAATGAAAATTTTTTGTAAGCGATTTTTTTGTTTAGAAACCACGCATGGCACATAGAAAGACTATTCCTCAAAGGATTTCGTTCAATTTTGCCCAAAACACCAAAAAATTTTCGTATTTTGGCATTTGACAAAAAATTGAAATAATGACTTTCAGGAGTCCTTACGCGGAATCGTTTCCAATTTTATAGAGCAGTATTTTGCGCTGCTTTCAAATATCTTTCTAATAGCCGCGAAAATTTTCCCCAAAAAATTTTACATTTGAAAATTTGTAGATATTCACATATTTCATGATGTTACAGTATTCAATCTTGTAAAATTTGCTAAAAATTCGACTCCCCATAATGGAAAACATGTGTATCCACGTTTGAATGACGTCACTTCGGCTTACTGGGTTCTGGCGGTGCTCTCCGATTAAAACGAAAAAGTTCAACTTTTTGGTGTTTTGGGCAAAACTGAACGAAATCCTTTGAGGAATAGTCTTTCTATGTGCCATGCGTTGTTTCTAAACAAAAAAATCGCTTACAAAAAATTTTCATTTCTTCGGCAGATTTGGGCCCACAAAAATCATAATTTTCAAAAATTTCGTAAAATCCAAAATTTAGCTTTTTTAGGCAACAATGTTAATTATTATTTATTTTAAACACAGTTCCAATAGGTTAAAACTGTTTTGGTACAATTTCCAGCGCGTTAGAGCATTTTTGCTTCCACCCGGACTCGAACCCGGGACCTTTTGAATGGTAGTCCGACCCACTAACGGTTGCGCCACGACATTTTTGTACACCTATCTGGAGATGCGCATATAGTCTATCCGATGCAGAATTTGATGCTGATTCCAAAAATGCAAAAAAATTCCGAGAAAATTATTGAAAAAAATCGAGAAAATCGAGATTTATTGATCAAGCATGGGCGTCACGGTATCTTACAGTAACCTGACAAACTTGGGGTCAATTACAAAGTTGTTCAGCATGGCCTATAACGTATGTGTACTCAGTTCTGCGATGTTTCGGCGATAAATTAGCACAATATGTCACATTAAACGAAATTCAATAAATGTGTCATATCTCGGTCATGATGACGAATTTTTCGAAAAAAATTCACCAAGTTGTTTAACAGCCTATATGTCATCAGTTGAGACAGAAAAAAGTGGGGGTCAAATTCTAGGGCAGGCCCCCATTTGAGCCTGCTTCAGCAACTCGCGAAGTGTCTTTTAAATTGAAATACTACATGTATAGCGGAGATATATTAATGTACAGTGAGGGGCCTGATCTAATGGCAAAAAACGTGTCATTTTGCATCCTGGAAGGGACCAAAATGACTCCAAACCCTTCCCTTATGTGCTGGAAAACTCCGCTTTGAAAAACGCGCTCTTTCCTTCAAGGCGGGCTCTTCTGTGTGGTTTATTAGCTTAGAGAAGGGACGGGTTTGGAGACATTTTGGTCCCTTCCGGGATGCAAAAGGAGACGTTTTTTGCCATTGGATCCGGTACCTCACTGCATTTTAATATACACTCCATTTCAAAATGATAGACACGCCTATAAAATTTTCAATTGCGGTGTCGGGGTTTAGTTGACGGATACGAAACCTTAACAGGTTGAAAGAGGAGGTTTGAAAACCTACACCTACAAATAAAATTTTCTCATTTCACTGTAATTGCACTTTACACCAAAGATTTTCCAAATTTTGGGTGTTTCAAAATGATAGACACGGCTGCTATTTTTGCTTAAAACTTGGGAATATGGGCCCCATAGGGCCTGAAACTGTTAGTATGACTGTATTGCAACTGTCTGGACTTTACTGAGCTCAAAAAGCCCAAATTTTTATGCAATTGTCCCGGAATTGCACATATACCTCCATTTTGTGCAATCTGGCCTGCATCTGTCAGAAGTCCACTTTCCATGGGCATAGACAGTGCAGATGCGACCTATGGTATGTAATGGACTAGATCCAGTCAGTTTTCACCAGTATGCAACACAAAAATGCGTGGAAATTGCAACGAAAACTGATTCCGCAGCGAAAGTCGTCACTTTTAAAGCTTCTCAAGCGGGTGCCTGTGGTTTGCACAACCAAAAAAGCTCTGAACTATCTTGAAAAACCACATACAAACGTTATTACATAATCCTTATGTCCAGGTTCAGTCGGGCCAACGCCAGAAAACGTCAAGTTTCCAAAAAGCCCTTTTTGACCCATTTTTAAGCCTATTTCGCATAGATTCACAAAAGAATGGTGCACTGCGGACCTGCTGAAGCAATGCTGCACATGCTACCGTGCTAAACGTATTTACAAAAACCTAAACATTCCAGCCAAGAAGTTTTTCTTCGCATCTAGCTTGTTTCGAAACGTAGGGTAGCCTTCAAAGCTGACTATGTCGCAGCGGAAGCAGCTTTTGTTGGAAATGCCACGCATTTTTTTGTCGCATACTGGGGAAAACTGACTGGATCTACTCCATTACATACCATAGGTCGCATCTGCATTGTCTGTGCCCATGGAAAGTGGACTTCTGACAGATGCAGGCCAGATTGCACAAAATGGAGGTATATGTGCAATTCCGGGACAATTGCATAAAAATTTGGGCTTTTTGAGCTCAGTAAAGTCCAGACAGTTGCAATACAGTCATACTAAAAATTTCAGGCCCTATGGGGCCCATATTCCCAAGTTTTTAGCAAAAATAGCAGCCGTGTCTATCATTTTGAAACACCCAAAATTTGGAAAATCTTTTGTGTAAAGTGCAATTACAGTGCAATGAGAAAATTTTATTTGTAGGTGTAGGTTTTCAAACCTCCTCTTTCAACCTGTTAAGGTTTCGTATCCGTCAACTAAACCCCGACACCGCAATTGAAAATTTTATAGGCGTGTCTATCATTTTGAAATGGAGTGTATCTCCGCTATACATGTATTTTAATTTAATATACATGTGTATAGCGGAGTAAAGAATTTTTGAAAAGGACATGCTCTCTGATACCACCGTCTGAGCTTTTCGTAGTTGTAATGACAAGTCATTTACAAAACCTAAAGAAAATTTGACCGTCGCATCTAATGGCTGACTATTTTGTCACTACATTTTGCTGTTTGGTTAGTTTTGTTCTTCAGTCTACCTTTAACACACAGATCATCAGGGGCGTGTCAAATTTACCTGTGGTCAAAAAACCTCCACCCTCAGACCAATTCCTCAACCGCGCTCCTGCAGATCATAATTGAGGGCTTCTATTTTTGAAACTTCTCCTGTAGCGCGATAACTCTTTAGAAGGAAGAATTATTCGAAAAACTTGGCAGAAATAAACGGTTTTAATGTATTTAATTTTCTACTGTCCTTGTGCAAGTTGTATGTACGTAGGCCATACATGAAAAACGTAAATGGTGTGCCTGTGGCACTTGCTAAATATTTATGGGGTTTGAATGTTTTTTAGAGAGTAATTTTTTAAGTAGCTTGTTGATAAACAAAAAAGTTTTCAATTCAATTAAACCATAGTCATTTTTGTTGATTAGAAGGATTATTGTAGCCAAAATACTTGGAAGTCACATGTAATTCTGTACGATTCATTTTGTAGCGAAGCCTCAATTTTATCCGCGTGGGTTCAATGACCTTACAAGAATAATGAAGTGTTCATTATTTGTTATAATGATTAAATGCGTCAAAACAGTAATCTCTTTAATGGCAACATTGCCATGTTTGCAATGGCGCATAAACTTTACCTTGAATTCTAGCCAAAGTTTCAGAAGTGCAATAGTGGTCCGCATTGTGCATTTTTCCTCACAGCAAATTATGAAAAAACTAGTATCGATTTCAGCGCAAACTATGACTGTTTTATTTCAACCTTTAAATCGACCAATAATAGTTCTATCCTGAGCTCGCGTCATGCAATCTACATATGATTACGGGGTGTATTGCGAGCTTTCCTTACAATTAGAAAAAGAGATATACAGGGTTGGGCATCTTTGTGGCCCGATTTAAATTGGCTATAACCGTCTCAGTTTTTGGCCAAATCTTATAATTCTTTGTTTTGCTGAATACTCAGAAGTCCCCATTTTGTTTAACACCAAATATGTTATTCCCATTTATTAGCTTACATCAAAAATTAACTACAAACAAAAACCTCTAATTTCGATACTAAACAAGGGCAGTATCCCAAGTGCGACACTCATATTTTTATTGAATTTTGCGCACTTGCCATTTTTGATGAGAAAATGGCTTCAATATGATTTTTGCGCAGAAAACGTTTCTTGAGCATAATATTGCATAATTGCCCCTTTATATGCTTATATTCCTACTGTTTGTTTTTCAGGATGACCGCTTCGTATCTATTTTGGTTTTGGCTTAGCGACGTCCTCGGCTCCGCGTTCGGCCTAGTTCTCAATGTGTTACTAGTTACCGCAGTCTTAATGTCGGCAAAAAATCGAAGAATCCATCCGTATTCATGGATGGTCTTCATCATGGGACTTCAGGACATTGCTTTCTGTCTCTTGGAAGTGATGATTCAACATGTAAGACATGCTTTTATAACTGAAAAATGTCATCAAAACATACTTACATACATTTTATTTCAGATCGTTTGCATGAAACACAGTGTCTTCCTGATCTTTGGACATGGCATTGAACAGCACCTGCCTCGTCGTTTATATCCCTTGGCCTTCTTTTTACACGCTACACTAATCATGAACAGCATAACACTACTGCCCGCGATGTACCAGTTTCGGTACCAAGTGATCGCAAAGTTAGTGAGGGGTTTTTGTGTTTTCTTTTCCAAAACGTACGGCAATTGCAGGCGGAAAGTGCTGTGCTTTTGTGAGGGTGGTGTACCCTCTAGTGGAAGTAGGATTGGCTCTTTTTCTTGCAGTATTTCGCATTGCCGCAGGCAATCTTAACCAAAATTTCCCGCAAATTTTGTCAGCGTCTTACGAGGACTTTCCTTTCTTTCCAAACGTTATATGAAAAAACCCGTGAAGGAGGGCTAAAAATAGTAATCACGTCCATTTTCAGCGACTTCGTAAACCTCAAGCCCTTAATTAAGAACTGCGTAATTGCAGTCACCGCCTCGTGCAGCGTTGGCTTCACTGTGATCTTCGCCATTATTGATATGAATGCCCGAGGCAAACAGTACTACCTCGACCTTCTTTCCGAGATGTGGTTTGACGAAAATGGCCGCAGCGACTTTATTTATGCCACTGACTTTGTGAGCGATGATTCGAAGTTTTCTTTTATAACTGGCTGTTGCATTTTAGCAGGACACCTCAACAAAGGTGTTCATCTTTACAACGGTGGTAATCTCCGCCACTTGCATGGGAATCTTGATCGTCTATGCGTATAAAGCATACGCTTTTGCAAACCCAAACACAACAATCATCTCAAAAGCAACAAAGGTTTTGCAGAAGCAATTTACAAGGAGCTTGATAGCACAGGTGAGAAAATATGGTATTTAAAATATTGCAATCTCTGTTAGATTTTCCTCGTCGGCAAAGTTCGTTGAATATCAAATTCTCCGGAAACTTTTTGCATCTGGGTAGCATCAAAAATGTGGCAAAATGCCTCCCTCTCCAAGTGAAAAAGCGCGCCCGCTTTTTTGTGAGGGAAATTTTGAAGGGCCTGCCCTTCTCAAAACGAAGTTTTTTTTCACTTGGAGAGGAAATGATTTTGCCACATTTTTGATACTTTCTGGATGCAAAATGGTACGTTTTTTGCCACTGGATCAGGTCTGCCACTGTAAGGCCAAAGACATATTTTTGGTGCTTTCGAGATCAAAAATATGAACCCACTATCCTTTTCCATTTCCTGCTCCGCCAATGTTGATGCGACTATTGTATCCTTGACTTACTCCTCACTAAAGTTCCTTTTCAGACCCTCTGCGTCGGTCTACTCGCCAATTTCCCTGTTGGGGTTCTCCTTTACTGCGTGATGCTTGGAATTGACGGCGAATTCGCCGGGATTTTCTTGATGTCTCCGCTGAGCTGGGTGTCCGCCATCAATGCTGCATTGACCTTTTATTTCATGCGAGATTATCGAAGGATTTTGTTCGGATTCATCAAAAGGGTACCGTTGGGGAAGACGGAGACGTACAGCTTCTCGCGGAGTATTCGGAGTACCTCTGCCAGGTTTTAAAAAACTGACTTGTCTAATTGAGAGAGTTATTTGTAAAAATTGGGTATAATTGTTGCGAAAATTGTTTACTATGCAAATAAATACTGTGTACTACCGCAAAAACAATCGAGAAAAGTTCATCGACTTTTCAGATGCCCTTGGAATCGACCCACAGTGGAGCCTTACGAGGGAATCTAGCCCGTAGTCTTTAAATTTTACTCCTTATACATATGTAGTTTGTATGGTGCCAAACTCCAATACAAGGCTGTGAAGCCGTGTCCATAAAACCCTCCAACCTACGGAGGCCATTCTCAAAACCATGACAACACTATTCTCATCACTCCCCCTGCACTTCCAAAAAACGGCTCTGCTCTGCCCTTGAACAGTCTCTATCAACTTTCCGTCCTCATACTGCCCTTGTAATTTTGTTGTGTAAAATTTAAATATAATATGACTTCTATTAGAGGGCAATTTCACAGTCTTCTCCGTTTGAAACTTTTCCGTAAATGTGCCAAAAATACGGTGTTATATTGTTCTTTTCCTATGCGAGTTTAGGCCGTAGAAATATGGCGTCGAAGTAATATTTCCAGTGTTTTTAGCTATGCCAGATTACAAGTTCTACTACTTTGAAGTTCGTGGAGTGGGAGAGCCCGCTCGAATGGCCTTTCATTATGGTGGAATCCCATTTGAAGATATTAGAGTGCCTCAACAAGAATGGCCGGATTTGAAGAAAAGCAAGTTGAAATTTCAGCTTCGTTAGATCGGCAACCAATAATTGAAGAAATTCTAACTTTGAGAGAGCTATTTAAAGATAGCATCGCATATCTATAATACATAATCGGACTTTTATGTCGGAAGCTCTTGTTTTTTAATCTTTGCTTTTCCTGCGTCTCCATGGGAAAGTCATGTAAACACTGTGTTTTCCAAAAGTTGTAGTTTCATAATCATCGTCCTAAACGCATTTTTGATACGCAAGATGTTTGATTTCCCTACGGCAAAAAAAACGTTGGCTTCGGAAATCCTGTTTGTCTACATTTAACTTTGCACGTAAACTCACAGTGGTTCGTTTTGAACGTCGAAAATCTTTGTAGGCCAGCTGGAACAACGTTTATAATTTAGTCATTCTGACATGGGTCAAAAAAACTTTATTTATTTTTAGAAATGCCACAAGGAACTGTGCCTTGTCTTTTCATTGACAACGGAAAAATCAAGCTGTCTCAGAGCTCGGCCATCGCATTGTATATTGGGAGGAAAGTGGGTAAGTCATCGTCTCAATCTATAAAATTTTTGATTTTTTGCGGATTGGCAATACTTGCATAACTTCAGGACTAGCTGGCCGGACCGAATTAGAAATGGCAAGAGTGGAAGAGGCCATCGCAACGTATAAAGATCTATACACCAAGATGGCTGATTACTGCTACACGATGACGGGTTTCAAAGACATGGACAAGGTATTTTTACACTTGGCTTAAACTCTATGTAGGGTGGTTTTATATAGCTAAACATCGCCAAGAAATCGGTCAAAAAAGCTTTCTCGTAACCCTTTTTGGGAAAAAAAGCCAAAAAATCTGACGTGGGGTGTACAACAAAAAAACCTGATCCAATGGCAAAAAAAGTATCCTTTTGCATCCAGGAAGTATCACAAAATGTAGCAAAATGCCTCCATCTCCAAGTGAAAAAACTCTGATTTTAAACGAGATTTTTTTAGCTGGAGGGGAGGAATTTTACTACATTTTTGATACTTCCTCTATGCAAAATGATACTTTTTTGCCATCGGATCAGGTCCTTCACTGAACAGTCTATATTCGGATAATTACATAAATTTTCGTTTCAAGGACGAACTCTACGAAAAGCAAGCCAAACCGGTCAGCGCACAATACTTCACACTCTTGTCCAAGATGCTGAAGAAACATCACAACACCTTTGTTGCGTCGCAAAAGCCTACGGTCGCCGACTTTTTCTTCGCCGAGTATTTGTCATCGGTAAATGGTTTCGCCCCCGAACTTTTCAAGGGTCATGAGGGACTACTGGACTACGTGAAAAGAGTCCATTCGATTCCGCAATTGCAGGATTACCTGAAAAAACGGCCCAAAACTGCCTGGTAAAAGAAAACAAGCAGTTTTGGCTGGTCTAGCCCATTTATTTTAAATATTTTACACTGTAGAGCCGCTAGAATATAAAACTTTTAATAAATTCGCATTTTTTCATCCAAGGCACAATTACTTTTTTACTGAAACATATTTAAACTTTATTGTGGACCCCTATCGATATTCTCTTCATCACGAATAACCTCATAACTTCGTTGCGTATTATTTGAGGAGCTATTTTCCGACTCATCAGATTTCGCTGTTCGGACTGGCTGATAGGCAATCATGCGGTTGAAAAACAGAAACCAAGCCGCGATTACGGCGCCAATCACGGCAATTTCCATCTGCCAAACAGGACGAGGACCGCCCTTCACGTAGAGCGAACTGGAAGCCATCGCACCAAACATACGACCTGAAAAATGGGGATTTGTAACCGCGAAAAATCGTGGTTTTCTTACCCAAAGAGCTCCAAACTTGAAGCCATCCCTGTTGTGTGCCTTGTCGTCTTGGCCCCAAAATCTTGGAAAATAAGGTTGACAAAGATACGGTGAGTACTGGAAACGAAACTCCAATAAACACTACGTAGGTGAGATAGTACAACCAAGGGTTTACTGCTGTCAAATCGAAGCACCATTGATATCTGGCCACATTGCAGCCGATTTCGGGGTGGCCGGTTTCTGAAACCGCACATTCCTTACATACCAAGCGTACGATTTTCGATTGAGTATGTACAGCGGGGGACCTGATCAGGTGGCAAAAAAACGTACCCATCCGGGCAAAATGCCTCCCCTTCCAAGTAAAAAAAATTCCGTTTTGAAGGGCGCGCACGTCAAACTGAGGAGTCCGGTGACTGGAACAGACCCTTCGCTATCGGTTTTTTACACTTCGTCTTGATTTCGCAGAGAAAGAGAGAAAAAAGACACGCAAAAACGTACTCTCTCGCCCCAAAAATTCCCCATTTCTCCCCCGACAAAACGTTTTTTCGCGTCTTTTCTTGGCAAATTGCCAATCCATTGACCGGACTGTTTTAGCTCATCTCAGTTTGACATGCGCGCCCTTTCCTTCACAAAAATAGTGGGAACGCTTTTGAAATCTGTTTTTTTTTCACTTGAGGAGGGAGGTATTTTGCCACATTTTTTGACGCTTCCTGGATGCAAAATGGTACGGTTTTTGCCACTGGTCTCCCACTGTAGGTGATGCACATACCGTTGGTATATTTCACGTGATTATTGTAAAAAGCGTATGGATATGTGAGGAAATGGAAGATGATCATAAAAACGAGAGCCAGTATGCAATTTGTTCGAAGTTTCAGACTGAAAAGATTGTTAAATATGAGCGCTAAATATGAGTAAAGAGCTTCGTTTCTTGTAAACTCACTACTGTTCAACTCTAAAATTGATAAACACAATGTAAGTCAAGAATGTGATGGCTCCCACTAATCCCTGGGCAATTGATGGGTATTTCACGGCTTCGATTTTGTCAAATGCAAACATCATCATAGCCAGAGGTGGGCCTAGTCTGAAAAATGGCAATTTTTTTGCGATAATAAGTGCAATAATATGGAGATTCTGCTAGGTCCAAATATTGGACTTACGTTTCCAAGTTCGTTCGGACATATTTGTCGACGAATCTGGTGACATAACAGACCATCACGGCTCTGCGGTCGTAGGTTCTATGATGATTATGATTGTCTCCAATTACTGGCTCGTCATCCTGTAAAAAGCCGTGCAAATCATCTTTTTTTCACCCTTGAGGTTATTTAAAAAATGCCTTAAAAACAATGCTCTTACATCCTCCAACTCTTCAGCGTACAGTTCTTCAAAATATTTGTGGAGAAAAATTGCTCCGGCGATATTCGTCAAAGCCGCGAAGTAAGCGGGCGATGTGAAGATGTTGATGTGCAAACCGAAAAAAGAAATTCCCGGATAGCCGAAAACAGTAAAGACTACTTGAAATGCAGGGCCTAGCGACATCCCCAACGCTTGGCCACAGGTCACATATGCGATGGATTTTGACTTATCCTGCGGCAAGCTGGCAGTAGCTGCATAGGTTCGAAGGAGCGCCAAATTACCTGTAAAACTTTGATTTCATTTTTTAAGAAAAATGTTAAAAGCAGCAAGTCTAAAAATCTACCTGATCCGAAGCCTAAAATTAGCCGACAAACCAGCAAGATGAATCTCTTCGGGCCCGGCAAAACCTCCATCAAGATGTAGAGTAGATTCCCCACAAACATAAAGATCAGCCCCGCTGAGAGGGGCTGCTTCACTTGCTTGACTTTGTTGCTCCATTTCCCAAACACCGGCGCCGCAACGATCTGACCAAAACTGTAGCAGAAAACGGTGATACCAAAGAAGCTGGCGTTGATCTCTGGGTCAAGCTGAAAAAAAGATGATTTGGGAAATTTACGTTGTAAGTAACGAAGTTCTTTTGATCGCTTGAGAACATTTTTTTACAGCAATCAGACGCCAATGGGCCATTTTTTCCTAATACGGGAACTACCCCAAGTGCGACGCTCAGATTTTCTTTAAAATTTGCACACACGTCGGGCATCAGCTAGATATCAATTCCTGAAAGTTTTAGCTCGCGCTTTGCGGGCGCCGCCGAGATATTGAACGATCTTTGCCGCCGAAAGAGCACGCAAAACGCGGAGAGCGGTCAGAAAACGCCTTTTGGCCACAACTTTGGTTGTTTCGTGCGGAAAAATTTGATTTTTTGTAGAAACATTATCCTTTACGGTAGAAATAGGCATGAAACTTTTCGTGCCAAAATTCAGCAAAAAGTCCTACTTTGGGCCGAGTTAGAAGGGGGGTCAAAACTTTTGGCGGGGAGTATAATACAAAGAATTTTGTATCGCTTGTTTGAAAATTTACGTTTAAACTTCCAATACTCTTAAAAAATTTTGGGCTTATTATAACTTACAATTTTCATATACGGCCATAACGAAGTGAAATACAAACTATATTGAACAGCGCTGACAAATGTCAACGCACTCGTAATGTAGATGGAGTTCCATGGAGTTCGAGCTGTCGGTTGGAGTGGGTCTCTGTCTGACATGCTCCTCTCCCAAACTCATATTGAATTCGGTCAATTTCAATTTATTTTTTCGTCGAGTTCGTCTTTCTGATAAGAAATTCGATAACAATCTCCTTTTAAGATTGAAAAAGTAAATTAAAAAAAATTGAAAAAAAAAAATATTTTCAAGTCAAGTAACAATAAAAATATTTGAAATTACAAAAGTTACAACTTTTTTGTCATCAAAATTCAAGTTTAACGCGTTAATGGAGAAGATGCATCAAGAAAAATGAAACAAAATTACATTACTTTGTTGCTGAAAATTCCCATCAGTTTATTTAATCAAAATTATTTTAGCGAGAAAGACCTTTTGAACCCTCTAAATAGGGGTTTTTAAAAAGAATTTACCGTTTCTATTCAAAAATATAGACTAAAATAACTTTTTTTTAGCTAAAAGAATTTCATAGGAATTTAGAATGTTAAAAAATACAGCTAAATTAATGTAAGGTACATTTCATATGACATAAATTACTGTATTTGACCTTTATTTGTTTATCATTGTCTAATAAACACAACCCTCAGTACACATAAAACCCCTCCGAAAATAAGCGCGCTCTTCCCTGTGTGCCATGATAGCTCAGTTGGGAGAGCGTTAGACTGAAGATCTAAAGGTCACCGGTTCGATCCCGGTTCGTGGCATTTTTTATTTATTTTTCTTTTTTTTTTCTAAACAAGTGGTATTGCCATTAAAACGATCTTAAAAATCATTTTACGTATTTAAATAACCATTTCTGCTGATTTAAGCCCTTTGTTTTAGAAAAAATGGTTATTCGTTTCGATGGTCAAGTAGCTGTTGTTACTGGTGCTGGCGGTGGTCTGGGACGTGTGTATGCGCTCGAATTGGCCAGACGTGGAGCCAAGGTTGTTGTGAACGACCTGGGAGGGGATTTACATGGAACCTCTGCCAGCACTAACATGGCTGACAAAGTTGTTAGCGAAATAAAAGCGGCCGGTAGAACCGCCGTCGCAAATTATGATTCTGTGGAATTCGGCGACAAAATCATCAAAACTGCCATTGACAGCTTTGGAAGAGTCGGTATGTACAAAGGTGTATGAGAAAGTTATATTAACCATCCATTTCCAGATATCCTCATAAACAATGCGGGAATTCTACGCGACAAATCATTCGTTAAGATGACTGATGCCGACTGGAGTAAGTGCCGAGCCTGTGGCTATCTAGAAAAGTCTATTTCTCTTCCATAAAAAGGATTTATATTAATTTTTAGACATGGTTTTGAAAGTCCACCTTCAAGGTGCGTATTCTTGTACAAAAGCGGCTTGGCCTCACATGAGACGTCAAAAATACGGCCGCCTTGTTTTCACATCCTCAAATTCAGCGGTCTTTGGAAGTTTTGGGCAGACTAATTACAGCTCAGGTACATTTCCGGCTTCACTTCTGCCATATCTTATCTTACCCTTCAAGGGTAATATAATAATCCTACTTTTCAGCCAAATACGCACTTGTTGGGCTCGCCAAGTCCTTGGCACTTGAAGGGAAAAAGCTTGGAATCCACTCGAACGCAGTTATTCCCACCGCAGGTTCCAGAATGACTGCAACGGTAATGCCGAAAGATATGTTGGAGATGTTCAACCCAAAACATGTGGTCCCAATGGTTACGTATTTAGCGAGCAAGGAGTGCAAAGAGTCCGGAAGACTCTTTGAAGCGGGCGCCGGGTATTTTGGAGAGGTGAAAACGGCGATCACCAAGGGAATCATCATGAATAAAGCTACGGCAGATGACAGTAAGTTTATGTCATATACAGGGATCGAGCAGGAATTTGGGTGTTCAGCTCAAAGCCCGAAGAGGTGCTGGCTTCATTTTCTGAACCCTCTACAGTGGGGAACCAGATCCAGTGGCAAAAAACGTACCATTTTGCATCCAAGAAGCATCAAAAAATGTGGCAAAATACCTCCCTCTCCAAGTGGAAAAACTCAGATTTTAAAAGCGCGCCCGCTATTTTTATGAGGAAAAAGGGCGCGCCCTTCAAAACGAGTTCTTTTCACTTGGAGAGGGAAGCATTTTGCCACATTTTTGATACTTCCCAGATGCAAAATGGTACGTTTTTTGCCACTGGATCCGGTCCCCCACTGTAATGTCTTCATTGACCATTAAATTTAGATAAAATTATAAAAATTTCAATCTCCTGGGATTAATCACAAAATTATGCCTTTTCTACCGCAACGCCAACGCCTTTAACTGCATTATAAAACGGCACCAACCGTAATATACAAGTTTCAACCAGAGGGCGGTAGATTTTGACTTCTTCCTGGAAGACTGGGGTTTGAAAATTTTACCATTGAACATTCGAATGGATCATTTATTCGACAATTTTTTCTAATGATTGTAGCACCAAACCCGGAGTTTTTGATTTTCAGTAGTTGTTACAGACAATGAACATCTATTCCAGACCCTAATTACCAATTACAGAATTGATTTTTACCGAGAAATTAGGGAGCAATCTAACCGTTTTCTCATCTAACCCCACATTTTCAGTTGCCGCTAACATGGGTCGCATTTCCGACCCCTCCGGCGCGTTCGATTTCAAGGGCTCGGAAGAGGTGACCGAGACACTTTTGGACTCGCTAGCCAAGCGTAAAGCCCATCTTTAACTGTTCACAAAAATTTTTATTTTTGGATATTACTTTATTACACCGCGAATAAAAAACGAATAAACCTGTCTAACAAGGAAAGTACTTCTATGGGGTGTGGAATTACCGGTCGAGATATATATCAAAAAATTCGCAAAAAATTTCTGATTCAGAATATATAAAAATTAGCTGCCTAATTTTGGTCTGATGACATGTTTTTGTCCTCAGAAGTTTTCTCGCGACACCATGCAAGTGTCTTTTTGACCGTGTTTTTAACAATAAAAAAATTTTGTTTTGTGCTGAACTAAATTCTGAGGCCTTGACAAGCCTTAAAATATCAAATTGGATTACAACTACACCTTAAAAGTAGTTCCAATGTAAAAAATGGGTTCTAGTGTGGCAAAAAGAATCGAACCCGTTTCCCTCGGATTTCCAAGCCAGCGCTCTAACCACTCGGCCACACCGCTCTCTTCCGAAGGAAGAGACCGAGCGCGCCTTTTTTGCCGCAGATTTTTTTCCTCGAGAAATACATTTATTGATAAAACTCGTTGATAGACCAAAATTAGGCAGCTAATTTTTATATATTCTGAATCAGAAAATTTTTGCGAATTTTTTGATATATATCTCGACCGGTAATTCCACACCCCATAGAAGTACTTTCCTTGTAAAACAATATGGAATGACTTCTGGTTTACTATACAGCGAGAAAACATTGAGGAAAGCAGATCAAGTCACAAATATCAGAGTAAGGCACAAAAATAAGTTTGTCTTTGTGTTATAAATATACAGTACAAATCTGATGTCCGAAAATGGAGAAAATAATTTTCAAACAAGGTTGAATCTGATTGAAATACCATATAAAAAACGAAAACCCCACTTAAAAACGCATTATAAAAAAACGCCAACCTTTTTATCCGAAAATTATATTACTTTAGCCCATTTTCTTAGAAAAAACAACCTTAAAAATCTAATACCCGATTCACCAAGCAGAGAATAAAATAAAAATTTACAAATGGCCTTTGAGAGCCCGATTATCAGTCATCAGCTCCTTCACCGGTCGACAATTTTCTGTAACGGACGTTTCTTCGAGCACCACCACGACGAGAACTGGCTACCATGGCTAAAAATAGCTCCGTTTCATTAAGTTTGAAGCTAAAATGAAAGAAAAATAATTAAGAAAACACTTACTAAAGATCTTTTTCCTGTATGTGTATCCAATTAGGCCAATGACGATGAAAATGATGAGGTAGTTGAATATAGATGATCCATGTTCATCACTGACGTAGGCGGGTGGTTGAGGGTGCCGACCATGAACGATTTCATCATTTGGTGGACTTTCAATAACCTTATTCGCATCTGCTTCAATTTGCTTTGGAACATCGAGCTTCTGAAATATTTCAGATAACCAAGGAAAAACTGGTAATATCTTTAAAATATTCCGGTCAAACGACATTAAATCAATGGAAAAAGATCAAAGAACCCATGAAAAGGCTAGAGGCAAAGTTGCTCATCTCGTATACCTGGTAACATCATCATAACCTAACTTTCAATACTACACAAGAAATAACCTACCTCAACCTTCTTTTTATCGCTGGGGCCTTTCCCAGCCCCTTCGATGTCCTCATCTCTGTCCCGGAAGTCCTCATTAGCATCCTCCTCGGTCTTCTTTGACTTATGTTCCTCTACTTCCTTCTTGTCCTCGATTTTCGCCACTTTATCTTGTCCATCACCTTCAGTGTTTTCCTTTCCTGATGTCGCAACAGATTGCAATGCCCGACTCAGCGTTGAACCTCTCGACATTCCTTGACTAGTCAGTGCGGGGTCTGCGGCGGTTTGCCCTTTCACACCTTTGGTTGTGGCTTTCTTTTCACCAGACTTCTCGGGAGCTACCAAATTTGGAGGTTCTTCTTCTTTTTTTGTAGTAACCTTGGCCTAAACAAGTAAAACAATAAACATGACACGCATACCTTATCCTTGTCATTTGCTGGAGCTGCAGATTTATCTTTTACATCTGAAACAACCGAAATTTACGAAGAAAAACATTATTATAGATACCTGTTTCCTCTTCCTTCGGCCGTTCCACTGGCGGCGCGGATTGAACCAACAACAAAAAGCACAGTGCTATCCCAACGATACACAAGACTCTCATGGCTAGAGGAATTCAATATCACATTAATTTCATGAGTATGGCGGCAAATCCTGAAAGCAAAGGTAAGGTAATAAAACCCGGAAGAATTAATTAAATCCGCGCAATTACTTGTGCGACTTCAGAAACAAAGGGAACCGGAGCGAATTTTAACGTTTCATTACACCACTTCGCCAGATTTTCCAACATTTCACCGATATTCTAATATTTTCCCACAGCGGTTTCGCCTGTTTGCAAGAACTTCTTGGCATTCCGTTTTACATTAATATTTTCTCCGGGAAAATCGGTTTTGCTCATCTTCAAGACCTTGAGGACAACAATGCTATAAGATTTGTGTATTTTTTCGTTTTTTATCGCGTTTTAGGTCGTATTATCTTCTTTCAAGAATCGAATTGAAGTCCGAGAACCACAGATTAAAATATCGAATTTCAGCCAATCTTGGGTGGGTAACGATGGCTTCTGCTCAGACCAGTGTAGATCCGGACTCGTTGAGTCAGGAGGGAGAGTTTTTGAGCAGTTCTACCAAGTATGAGAACAAGGAGGAATGGGTGGATGTAAAACCAATTTACAACTCAATTGCCGAAGATGCCGTTGTACGAATAAGCCACACGCCAGAATGTAAGTGTTTCTTTCCTGTTTATTTTATTTTTTGGTTGCTTTCAGATGCTTTGACTGTATATTTTGTATTAATTTAGTTATCGATGCATTTGCCTACTTCCGGGCGGTTCTACACAAAAATGAGATGAGCGAACGGGCATTCGAGCTGACCACGACTTGTTCGCAGTTAAACCCAGCTAATTACTCTGTTTGGTACGGTTTTTTATCGGTTTCTTGACTTTTAGAGCAATTATATTGTAAACGACCATCTGAACGGAAAATTAAACGATTTGTGTGAGATAGTTATGGTTTTGATTGTAGGCAGTTCCGTCGTAACCTTCTCAAAGCCCTGAACAAAGATTTGATTGCGGAGCTCAAGTTTTGCGAAGAAATGGCATGTGAACATCCCAAGAATTACCAAGTTTGGTATGTGTTACAATTTCTCTGTGTTCTTTTTGTTTAGATGTGTAACCGGCTTAATCATGGTTTATTGCGATAAATGTGATATGTTCTAGGCATCATCGTCGAGTTCTTGTCGAATGGGTGAACGATCCGACGAAAGAATTGGACTTTACCGACTTTATCCTCGCCGGAGACAACAAAAACTATCATGCGTGGCAGCATCGGCAGTGGGTGGTCGAAAAATTCAATCTGTTTGACAAGCGAGAGCTGGATTATAGTCAGAAGTTGTTGGAGGAAGATTTGAGGAATAACTCGGCGTGGAACTACAGGTTCTTCATTTTGAACGCCTTGAGTAGTCAAATGACGGATAAAGAGATGCTGGAGAACGAACTGGACTTTGTGACGGAGATTATTAAGGAAGCGAGCTCGAACGAGAGTGCTTGGACTTATTTTGTTGGGTAAGAAGCAGTATGAAGGGAGTTTTTGGGCATCCGGGATATTATTCGTAGTGAAGAGGTGTCTTTGTGTAAAATACGGTTATTTTTTGATGTTTGTGTGTCGCAACGAGTGGAGCTTGGTGTTTTTAGAATTCTTGGTTTTTTATAATGACAGTAGCAGGCTAATGTTCGTAGAGAATTCCCGTATTTTTGGTTTAAAACCTTTTTTTTACAAGGAAAGTACTTCTATAGTGTATGGAGTTACAGGTCGAGATATATCAAAAACATTGCAAAATTTTTCTGATTTGGAATATGTAAAGGCTAGCTGCCTGATTTTGGTTTGTCAGGGTGAAAAAATCTTCAGAACTTTTCTCGCAACACCACACAAATGACCCTTTTTTATATTGGAACTACTAAATAATTAAGGTGTAGAATTGATCAAGTTTGATATTTTAAGGCTTGTCAAAGATGTCAGGGTTTACTGTAGCTCAAAACGAAGCTTTTGATTTGGTAAAAACTTTGTCAAAAAGGCATTTGCGTGGTGTTGCGAGAAAAGTTCAGATGATTTTTTCACCCTTACAAACCAAAATTAGGCAGCTTTAACTTTTACATATTCTGAAAAAAAAAAATTTTGCGATTTTTTTATCTATTTCTTGACCTGTAACTCCATACCGTATAGAAGTACTTTCCTTGTAAAAAAGGGTTTCAAACCAAAAATACGGGAATTCTCTACGAACATTAACCTGCTACTGTCATTATAAAAAACCAAGGATTCTAAAAACACCAAGCTCTACATGTTGCGACACACAAACATCAAAAAAATCGGTATTTGCTCCGTATGACTAGAAGAAATTATCTTTTTTTACCATTTTTCTTTCAGAATACTTGGTTCCACGGGTATTTCCGGTAATCCACGAGCCCTGGAGTTCTGCAAACAGCTTCATTCCAACCCCGAACACAGGTCCCCACATCTCCGTTACATTTTATTCGATTATCATTTCAATCTCGCCGAGCAGGGCATCGACCCAGAGCAGAACATCCTCGAAGCCGCCCGACTCCTCGAAGAACTCGAATCCATCGACCAAGTACGACACAAGTACATTGGGTACCTGAAAAACCGCTTACAATGCCTACGGGGGAAATGAATTTTTAGTGAATTTTTATCAATTAAAACAGTGTATTTGTGATTGCCGTAACATTACTTGCATGTAATTGTGCTCTTACTGCTCTCTTTTTATCTTATGACCTTAATTTCGCGGTTTTCGTGATTAATAAAACATGGAAAACATAATGTTTGTTGTTTTGAAGGTAGTGTAAATCGCTGGACACGACTTGTATTTGAAGGGGAAGGCGTGGTATGATGGATAGTAGAGGGAATAGAGATTTTAATCATATTTTATGCTGATTTTTTTGGAAAAGTTTGAGATTTTGGGAGATTTTTTTTTTAAATTTGATATATTAGAGGTAAAATATGGATATAATAAGCAGTGATTTATTTTTTCAAAGCTCAGTTTTAGATGCCGGCCACCACAATCTTCTCGGATCTCCACGAACAGGACTCGCATAAAACAATTTTGGTGGTGGATCGCGGCCCAAAATTCGCCGCACTATGTGCTGAGGTAAGGAGAACAATTTTTTTTATTCATCTTCAACCTCATGCAGGTCAAAATCCCCTCCACAACGAACAATCTGAGCCAGACCCGATGGTCTTGCGCCATCCAGGCGGTCATCGAATTCCATCGGGTTCTGTCGGACCTTTACCCGAACTCCAGCAAACTCCTGCGGGTCGTGATTTCGGACACGGGCGGCCGATTCACGACTCCGCCGTGGGCCGAGACCATCGCGGACTACCGTCAAGTACTTCATTCGTTCATCGGAAGCAAGCCCGACCCAACGGCCGACCCGTCCGCGTCGAGTATAACGAATGGTCTAGTGATGTGCATGGACGCCTTGGCCGAGCCCACACCCCTGCAGAAACAGGCTCAAGCCCATCTGGACACGATTACGAATGATCCCAGCACGTTTCAAGTCAAGGATTTGCCGTAAGTTGACGATTTTGCAGCGGTTTTTATTATGCATTGGACAAAAGTGGAGGAAATTTTGACGAGGAAAGTACTTCTATGGGGTATGGAGTTACAGGGCGAGATATATATCAAAAATTCCCAAAATTTTTCTGATTCAGAATATATAAAATTTAGCTGTCTAATTTTGGTCTGTAAGGGTGAAAAAAACCCTCAGAACTTTTCTCGGAACGCCACATAAATGCCTCTTTTTTATACTGGAACTACTAGTTAAGGTGTAGTATTAAACAAATTTGATATTTTAAGGATATTTTAAGGCTTGTCAAAGATGCCAGGGTTCATTTTAGCTCAAAATAAAGCTTTTGATTTTGTAAAAACTTGGTCAAAAAGGCATTTGCATGGTGTTGTGAGAAAAGTTCTGAGGATTTTTTCACCCGTACATACCAAAATTAGGCAGCTAACTTTTATATATTCTGAATCAGAAAAATTTTGCGATTTTTTTGATGTATTTCTTGACCTGTAACTCCATACCCCATAGAAGTACTTTCCTTGTGAAAATTTCCTCCACTTTTGCCCAATTAATGAGTGGTTGCAAAGCAAAGAGGAAGCGGATAGTAATGGTGCATATCTTCTAGGATACCGCTGCCACCGAATGCTTCAGAGGCGGTCAAAGCTTCCTACGAACGATTGCAGAAATTCCGAATTCATATCCAGAAAAAGACCTTCACTCGACGAAAATTTGTGAGGAACTCCGGAACTGTCATCGCTTTTACTACGATTACTGCGTAAGTGACGAGTTGTAGACTTTATTGTGAGAGGCTTTGCGGCTAATTTGTTTTTTTTTTTTTGAAATTTCCATTTTTTCTTTTCAGCTTTGATGAATTCAAAAAAGTTGTGGAGAATATGGAAGAACAAGTGGAATCTCGCAACGAGCTGTTCAAAAATAGTTGTGCAGAGTAAGCTGTTATCTTTGCAAGGCGTTTCGGCACCAGAAAAATCAAAAAAAAAAATGCAAATTTTCAAAAATTTTTTGGACTAGGGCTCGAGACTTCGCAGCCTGCGGCTGCTCACGTCTCTCGGGCAGCTATGCGGATAAAGGCAACTTTGCGCGCGATTTGGACCTGTTCAACGTCGAAAACCAACGTAAAGTCGCCTATGTGGAAAAAACGCTCGCCAAAGCTTTGCCGACGGCCTCCGGCCGCGGCAGAAAAACGCTACGCGTTAGACTGAGCCTAGTAGAAACTTGTGTCGTTCGGAACGCTAAGCCGACTTTGTTTTAGATCGAGAATTTACCCTAATCGCTAAGCTCAGGTCAGTCCCAGATCGCTCAGCCCGGTTAAAGCGCCCGCCGGCATGAGGCGACGGCCTACGGCCGCCGCGAGACTATGTTTTGTTACCTAAAATAATTTTCTTCCACCAGAAGTTGATCAGAAATACTTTCAGCAAAGAAAAATCGACTAAAAAACTCGAAAAATTAGACTCAGCACTCAAAATTATCTAAAACCAATATTTTTCCCAAAATCCCCGTCAAATTTGGCCCTAAAACGGCCAAATCCCGAGAATCCAGGACCAAAAAAATAATTTTACAAAAATTCTCAAAAAAAATCCAGAAATTCCCGTCATTACGCGTCACGATGACAGTTTCCGTACCACCCTCCTCACACTCAGCACTCTCTCCGTCTTATCTCTGACCGGAATCGAAAGAGAAAACCTTTGTCTAACCACCCTCCACCCCTTTCCCACTCTCTCTTTTCTCCCGCCAAACGAAGAAGGAAGCGGTTCTCTGCCCGCTCTCTCTCTTCGCCGCGCTCTTTTTTTGTGTTTTCGCCCATGGAAGTGGGCGTTTTTTCAAAACTGGCACTTGTTGCACTAAAAGTACCGGGAAAAAAGATACGACTACATCCAAAATGACATGGAGATTCCGAATATGCAACCTTTAGACCGATTGTAGTTAGAAATTTTCAAGTTTTGACGGTTTTAAAAATTTTAAATTTTTTGGTGTCAAAACTCGCCGAAAGATTCTGCCATGGGGATTACATCGACAGGTGTAATTCAACCGGCATCGTCAACCCAGCAAAATTCCTGAGGGGATGTTAGAGCCGGATTTTTGAATTTCGACCTTGTTCCCGAAATAATTGCACTTTCGTACAATAAAGTAAAATCCAAAAATTCTGAAATTCGAATACTGCCTTTTGACCTTGTCCGTATTTTAGGAATCGATACCTGTTTCTATAGCAGTTCAACGTGCTGAATACGATGGAGGTATATAAAATCCGAAAAAATTCCGTTTCAAGCCCTCAGGGCCGAATTTTGGCCGAAATTTCGAAATTTTTTTTCGGCCGCACGGTGCGCACGGAATATTGCAGGTAGAAAGCTGAAACTTGGCACGATGGTAGTTCATTTTGTGTCCTATAGCACCCATATGATCAATTTGTTCAAGTCCGCTAATTGCCCTAAGGGCGATTTTTTTCGCACGGTGCACCAAAAATTGACCGAAATTTCCGGCGGCTCTGACGGCCGTAATTTTAAAGATACGAGGAAGATGTAAGCGGGTAATTTGTAGAGCTCTTCGAGGTCTACAATCTATTGTTGGACATTTTTGACATTGTTGTTGTACATCAGGTAGAAAATTTTGAAAAAGTCAAAATTTTTAAAATTTCGAAAAATTGCGTTTTCAAGTATGTAGATTTTCTGAAACGATGGCCATGTAGAATGTTCTGAAAAAATTTAGGGACAATCTTAGAGCAAAAAAACTAAGATCAGCGAGCCGTTTTTTCGAATTTCGACCTGGGAGCCAAGAACGATTTTTTTGAAATTTGCACTGTGCAAATCGTATTTTTTACAGTAAGCCATAGCTAAAATACGAAGTGCACCACAAAAAAAAGAGACACGACCTAATAGGAAGTCGGGTACGTAGAATTCAAAGGAATCAAAAAAATCCAGAAAATCCGTCATCATGACGGGGTTTTCTGGAAGTGTAACTTTGTACATGGTCGTATCTACACATACATCGAGTTATCTCTTAGTTATGAATTTGCTTTCCCGATATGGACCTGTAGAAGCTTGCATTTCAATATTCCCCGGTCTAATTAAAAGATACGAAAAAAGGTCTTTTTTTGAGATTTTTTTCGTAAATTTTGAAATTTCGAAAAAATCTCGAAAGTGATTGTCCCATTATGTACCATACGCGACGAAACCAAAAATCAAGTCGATAGCTGTAAAACGGAGCGAGATACAGAGACTCAAAGTTTCGACTTTTCATGACGTCATAGGCCACTCAAAATTGAAAATTTTGAAAATTTTTTTCAAATACTCAAAGACAGCATCTAAAAGAACCCCCATGCCAAAAATCAAGTCAATCGGAGCAAAACAAAAAACCAAGGACAAACCCTACGAATAGATATATTTTAGACTAGGGCTCGAGACTTCGCAGCCTGCGGCTGCTCACGTCTCGAGGGCAGCCCTGCGGATAAGAGCAACTTTGCGCCCGGTTTCGCTGCTTTGCGCGCGATTTGGACCTGGTCAACGTCGAAAACAGCACAAACGCTCGCCAAAGCTTTGCCGACGGCCTCCGGCCGCGGCAGAAAAACGCTACGCGTTAGACTGAGCCTAGTAGAGAGATCGCTAAGAACTTTCTCTAATCGCTAAGCTCAGGTCAGTCCCAGATCGCTAAGCCGGGTTAAAGAGCCCGCCGGCATGAGGCGACGGCCTACGGCCGCCGCGAGACTACATTTTGTTACCTAAAATAATTTTTCTTCCACCAAAAGTTGATCAGAAACACTTCCATTGACCAAAATCAACAAAAAAAAATAAAAAAAATGGACTCGGCACTCAAAGTTACCCTAAGACAATATTTTTCCCGAATTCCCCATAAAATTTGGCCCCAAAACGGCCAAATCCCGAGAATCCAGGCCCAAAAAAATAATTTTACAAAAATTTCTCGAAAAAATCCAGAAAACCCCGTCATGACGCGTCACGATGACCGTTTCCCACCACCCTCCTTACACTCAGCACTCTCTCCGTCTTATCTCTGACCGGAATCGAAAGAGAAAACCTTTGTCTAACCACCCTCCTCCTCTTTCCCGCTCTCTCTTTTCTCCCGCCAAACGAAGAGGGAAGCGGTTCTCTGCCCGCTCTCTCTCTTCGCCGCGCTCTTTTTTTTGTGTTTTCGTCCGTGGAAGTGGGCGTTTTTTCAAAACTGGCACTTGTTGCACTAAAAGTGCCGGGGAAAAAGATACGACTATGTCCGAAATGTCATGGAGCTTCTGAATATGTAACTTTTAGACGAATTTTAGTTGGAAATTTTGGAGATTTGACGGTTTTAAAAATTTTGAATTTTTTGAGACCGCCGCTTCAAACACGATATCTGATCATATCTTTGAATGTCATATACGAAATTCCGGCTACGGAATGATAATTCAATTATCTAGTGCGTCCCAGGCGGGATTTTTGAATTTCGGCCTTGTTCCCGAGCTATAGTAACTTTCGTCAAGGTAAGCAAAATCCAAAAATTCCGAAATTCGAATACTGAATTTTCACCTTGTCCGTATTTTAAGAACCGATACATGTTTCTATAGCAGTTCAACGTGGTGAATACGATGGACGAAATTAAAATCTGAAAAAATTCGATTCCAAACCCTCAGGGCCGGAATTCGGCCAAAATTTCGAAATTTTTCTTCGGAGACACAGTGCGCACGGAAAATTGAAGATAGAGAGCTGAAACTTGGCACGATGGTAGTTCATTTTGTGTCCTATAGCACCCATATGATCAATTTGTTCAACTCCGCTAATTGCCCTGAGGGCAAGTTTTTTCGCACGGTGCACCAAAAATCGACCGAAATTTCCGTCCGCTCTGGCGGCCGTAATTCGAGAGATACGAACGTGATGTAAGCGGGTAAATTGTAGAGCTCGTCGAGCTCTACAATCTATTGTTGGACACTTTTGAAGTTGTTGTTGCGGAACATGACGAAAAATTTGATTTTCTGAAAATTTCAAAAATTTGAAAAAAATGCGATTTTCAATATAGAACTGGTTCTGGGAGACGACGATGACTACAGGTCCAAAAACAATTGAGGACAATCTTCGGGCAAAAAAATTAAGATTTGCGAGTGATTTTTTTGAATTTCGACCTGAGGGCCGAGAATGAATCTTTTGAAATTTGCACTGTGCAAATCGTATTTTTTACAGTAAGCCATGGCTAAAATACGAAGTGCACTACAAAAAAGAAAGACACGACCTAATAGGAAGTTTGGTACGTAGAATTCAATGGAATCGAAAAAATCCAGAAAATCCGTCATCATGACGGGGTTTTCTGGAAGTGTAACTTTGTACATGGCCGTATCTACACATACATTGAGATATCTCTTAGTTATGAATTTGCTTTCCTGATATGGACCTGTAGAAGCTTGCATTTCAATAAAGCTGGACGCGTCGAACGTTTACGAAAAAAGGTCATTTTTTGAGATTTTTTTCGTAAAATTTGAAATTTCGAAAAAATCTCGACAGTGATTGTCCCATTATGTACCATACGCTACGAAACCAAAAATCAAGTCGATACCTATAAAACGGAGCGAGAGACAGCGACTCAAAGTTTCGACTTTTCATGACGTCATAGGTCACTCAAAACGGAAAATTTTGAAAATTTTTTTCAAATACTCAAAGAGAGCATCTAAAAGAACCCCCATGCCAAAAATCAAGTCAATCGGTGCAAAAGAAAAAAGAAACCCCAAACCTTATGAATAGATATATTTTAGACTAGGGCTCGAGACTTCGCAGCCTGCGGCTGCTCACGTCTCTCGGGCAGCTCTGCGGACAAAGGCAACTTTGCGCCCGGTATCGCTGCTTTTCGCGCGATTTGGACCTGTTTAACGTCGAAAACAACATAAACGCTCGCTAAAGCTTTGCCGACGGCCTCCGGCCGCGGCAGAAAAACGCTACGCGTTAGACTGAGCCTAGTAGAAAGTTGTAGCGTTTTTAAGACCAAAAAGTTAGGATCGCTAAGCTTTCCCTAATCGCTAAGCTCAGGTCAGTCCCAGATCGCTAAGCCGGGTTAAAGAGCCCGCCGGCATGAGGCGACGGCCTACGGCCGCCGCGAGACTACATTTTGTTACCTAAAATAATCTTCCTTCCACCAAAACTTGATCAGAAGCTCATACAATAAGGAAAAATCAACTAAAAAACTCGAAAAATAGATTCAGCACTCAAAATTATCCAAAGCCAATATTTTTCCCGAAATCCCCGTCAAATTTGGCCCTAAAACGGCCAAATCCCGAGAATCCAGGACCAAAAAAATAATTTTACAAAGATTTCTCGAAAAAATCCAGAAATCCCGTCATTACGCGTCACGATGACAGTTTCCGTACCACCCTCCTCACACTCAGCACTCTCTCCGTCTTATCTCTGACCGGAATCGAAAGAGAAAACCTTTGTCTAACCACCCTCCACCACTTTCCCACTCTCTCTTTTCTCCCGCCAAACGAAGAAGGAAACGGTTCTCTGCCCGCTCTCTCTCTTCCCCGCGCTCTTTTTTTGTGTTTTCGGCCATGGAAGTGGGCGTTTTTTCAAAACTGGCACTTGTTGCACTAAAAGTGCCGGGGAAAAAGATACGACTATGTCCGAATTGACATGGAGATTCCGAATATGTAACTTTTAGACGAATTTTAGTTTGAAATTTTTGAGATTTGACGGTTTTAAAAATTTTGAATTTTTTGAGACCGCCGCTTCAAACACGATATCTGATCATATCTTTGAATGTCATATACGAAATTCCGGCTACGGAATGATAATTCAATTATCTAGTGCGTCCCAGGCGGGATTTTTGAATTTCGGCCTTGTTCCCGAGCTATAGTAACTTTCGTCAAGGTAAGCAAAATCCAAAAATTCCGAAATTCGAATACTGCCTTTTCACCTTGTCCGTATTTTAAGAACCGATACATGTTTCTATAGCAGTTCAACGTGCTGAATACGATGGACGAAATTAAAATCCGAAAAAATTCGATTCCAAACCCTCAGGGCCGAATTTTGGCCAAAATTTCGAAATTTTTTTTCGACCGCACGTTGCGCACGGAATATTGCAGGTAGAAAGCTGAAACTTGGCACGATGGTAGTTCATTTTGTGTCCTATAGCACCCATATGATCAATTTGTTCAGCTCCGCTAATTGCCCTGAGGGCAATTTTTTTTGCACAGTGCACCAAAAATCGACCGAAATTTCCGGCCGCTCTGGCGGCCGTAATTCGAGAGATACGAACGTGGTGTAAGCGGGTAAATTGTAGAGCTCTTCGAGCTCTACAATCCATTGTTGGCCACTTTTGAAGTTGTTGTTGCGGAACATGACGAAAAATTTGATTTTCTGAAAATTTCTAAAATTTGAAAAAAATGCGATTTTCAATATAGAACTGGTTCTGGGAGATGACGATGACTACAGGTCCAAAAACAATTGAGGACAATCTTCGGGCAAAAAAATTAAGATTTGCGAGTGATTTTTTTGAATTTCGACCTGAGGGCCGAGAATGAATCTTTTGAAATTTGCACTGTGCAAATCGTATTTTCTACAGTAAGCCATGGCTAAAATACGAAGTGCACTACCAAAAAGAAAGACACGACCTAATAGGAAGTCGGGTACGTAGAATTCAATGGAATCGAAAAAATCCAGAAAATCCGTCATCATGACGGGGTTTTCTGGAAGTGTAACTTTGTACATGGCCGTATCTACACATACATTGAGATATCTCTTAGTTATGAATTTGCTTTCCCGATATGGACCTGTAGAAGCTTGCATTTCAATAAAGCTGGACGCGTCGAACGTTTACGAAAAAAGGTCATTTTTTGGGATTTTTTTCGTAAAATTTGAAATTTCGAAAAAATCTCGACAGTGATTGTCCCATTATGTACCATACGCTACGAAACCAAAAATCAAGTCGATACCTATAAAACGGAGCGAGAGACAGCGACTCAAAGTTTCGACTTTTCATGACGTCATAGGTCACTCAAAACGGAAAATTTTGAAAATTTTTTTCAAATACTCAAAGAGAGCATCTAAAAGAACCCCCATGCCAAAAATCAAGTCAATCGGTGCAAAAGAAAAAAGAAACCCCAAACCTTATGAATAGATATATTTTAGATTTGATTTTTTGCTCAGATTTCTGTTGGCCTAAAATAATTTTTTGATCATCGAAATTTTTGATTTTCAGTTTGAACTCCACATCAGACCTGGTAATGCTCCCAATAAGCCGGTTAAATTTGCATATCATCCATCTGGCTGCCATCGATGAACAGATGGATAAACCATTGATAGAGCAATGCCAGGCCTGGCTCAAGAAGCGCGAAGGACCGGTTCATGTGGAATTGAGGTGGACAACGGGCGCAAATTTGATCCGAACTGTCCATTCAATCATGCAAACGGATTTCGGAGTGCAGTCAACTACGGTCCAAAATATCCCAATGAAGGTAAGAAAGGGGTCGGATTTTTGGAACTAGGTGATTTTTTTGGGGTTTGGAAGTGACTTACAGTGGGGGAGCTGATCCAGTGGCAAAAAAAGTAGCATTTTGCATCCGGGAAGTATCAAAAATGTGGCAAAATGCTTCCCTCTCCGAGTGAAAAAACTCAGATTTGAAAAGCGCGCCCGCTCTTTTGGTGAGGGAACCCTGAAGCATTTTGCCACATTTTTGATGCTTCCGGGATGCAAAATGATGCGCTTTTTAGCCACTGGATCAGGTCCGGCACTTTAGAAGGTGATTTCCTGCAGTTCTAAGGTCGACGAGACAAGAATTTTGAGTTTTAACTGGAAAAATTTGCAAGGATTTGACTTTTTCTATCCTACAAAAACAAAAAAAAAATGGATTTTAGATTTTTGTTTTATTTTTTATTCAATTTCATTATGAAAAAGTGTAGAAAATTGAATATTAGGTCCCTGAGAATTCCCTGATTTCATAAAACAGGCTCCGAAAATTAAAAAAATATATATATTTTTTAGGAGGAATCAAACGCCACCAAGTCCACCAATTACAATGTGGAAATGTTCCATGCAAATCAACCGCATTCCTATTTGCGGCAACTGCATTTACTCGACGCTGACAGCCCCATCACCAACGTTGAGAATGAATACAGTTCGACTTCGCTGAAATGGTCGAGCGTGAACAATCGAATGGTTGCAAATGATGTAAGTTTATAGCATTTTTGGATTTTTTTGATGATAAAAGAAGGGAGAGAAAAAAATTTTCGCCAATTTTAGGTGATTTTTTTTTTGATTTTTGTCTAGTACAATATAAATTTTTGAGAGAAATTTCTTTATTTTGCCTTCAAATAGCTTATAATTGTCTATAATGCAGAGATTGTTTCTTTTTGGTCCATCTCCGATATGTTTTTGATATCCATTTTGCCTACTATAATATAATTTTACAAATTTTTTTTTGCTCTTTGCAAGTTGGATAGCTTAGATACGGCTGGATTCTACTTTTTTTGCTATTTTTTGTACATAATTTTGCTTATTTTAGGCCCCATTATACGAAAATGGAGCAGCTGTGACGGTAGCCAAGGTCCGAGACCGGCCCGCGATTTGTATTTGCAACTTCATTTTGAATGGAAAATTCGTTTTATTGGATATGGACCCCGATTCCAAAGTTTCGGAGCTGTCCCCAAACTTTCACAACTTGAAAATCAGTCATTTCTTCTCATTGGATCACACAACTGGAGCCATGTTTTTGAATGGAATGAGGTTTGATCCGAGCGGTAAGTTTGAGGAAAATTTATGAGTTGAGAGGCCTATTATTTTATTTTATAGAGGATTTTAGCTTTAGTGTTTGCTTTGGTCGATTTTTTGAGGATTTATTATGTTACACTTGGCATATTGGCAAACTTTTTGTAAATTTTTAATTTTTTTTGCAAGAGTGCGGAATTATGAGGGCGAAAAGGTTTTTTTATGGTGTGATAGGGCTGAAAAATGATAATTTTGTAGTCTATTTTTGTGTGGAAGATCCAGTTTGAATCAGTTATATTATACTTGACAGTTTGATCTAAAAATTTTTTTTTCTAAGCGTGTAATTTGGGAAACTAAAGTGTTTAAAAATCTACTGGGTTATGGTAGAGCCAAAACGGTTGGTAGGCAAAAAAGTTTTCTGATTTTTTAAATATTATACACGAGAGGTTTATCATTTTTTGATTTTTTGGATGATGAATTTCAAATTTGTTAAAGTTTTTGTCTGTAATAAGGTAGTTGGCCCACTTGGACTGTTTTATTATAATTTTCATTAATTAGGAAGTTAAAAAAATCGATTTTCAGCTTTCCCCCCTCTACCGGACCCAATAAACGATCGACTTCTCTTGTATCCGCTGGTCAAACTCATAGAATTCATGCGCTTGCAGCTGGACATTATCAAGTATCCACTAAAAGCAACAGAAAAGAAGGCTATTTTCGATCAGACGATGGAATTGGCAAAGAATTTTGGGCAATATTTACCGATTCATGACTCCGACTCGGTGTTTTATCAGTCCGCAGAGTTTTTCCGTCCTCTTTTGGACGTGATTAATTCTAATACAGTAACCCCCGAGGTACGTAGGGGATTTTTAAAAGGGTTTTGAGGGATTTTTGGGTAATTTTTTGGAGGATTTTTTTTTGAAATTTTTGGGGAAAAAAAAATTTTGAATTTAAAAAAAAATTTTTATTATTAGATGATCGCCGAAGCCAAGAGCTTCGTCTACCGAGCAGTGGGAGATAATTTGTCCACCTTGCCGTATCCCCAGTCCACATTAATTACATTGAACATGACTCAAGAAGAAAGAGTAAAAGTAACATTCGTGGAGGTCGCGAGAATTCTCAAAAATTATTCCGCAATCAGTCCCGAACACACCGAGTTCTACAACTTCTTCCTCGGCATTACTGGACTGGACCTGAACGAAGAATTCAGCAAACAACAGGCCCGACCGGACTCTCCGACTGTCCACCGAAGGTCGAGAAGTAATTCGCCGGTCCCAACGAAGAGATCCAAGAAACTGGAGAGAGGTGAGGGCAAATTTCGATAGGCAAATTTTGGGCTGGAATGAAAGATGGTGGGATTTAGGCTTCCTGGAAATTGGACAGAGTGAAATTGGACACAAATAATTTTGACAGAGCGCGGAAATTGGACAGAGTTTTTTTCACTGCAATTGTTTCTGTCCAATTTCACTCTGTCCAATTTCCACGAAGCCATTTTTTGCAGTGAAAAAAATTCTGTCGAGTTTCACTCTGTCCAATTTCCACGCTCTGTCCAAATTATTTCTGTCCAATTTCACTCTGTCCAATTTCCACGAAGCCGGGATTTAAAGTTATGAAAAACTTTGTTGTTTGACAGGTTTATGGTAATATTTATTGGGAACTTCAATATCTCTGATAGTGATTTTCGGAAATCTGGCAGATTCCGGAAGCGGGAAGCGACGATTGTTCAAGTACAATTGGCGTATTGTACAATAAAAACCTTAAACTCGAAATTTTTTTAACACGAGGAACGTCGTCAATTAGGGAAAAAGACGATTGGGGGAGTGGATGATTGGGAAAAAGACAATTTGGGAAACTGAAAAGTTTTATTTTTCTTCGATGAAAGTGTCGAAATTAAGATAATCGAGGGTGCTGATTTTGAAAATGAGATTCATTTTTTTTTGATTGTTTCTTTTTTCTTTAGGTAGTACTGTAAAGTAGTCATTTTTGGGATTTTTCTCATAAATACTCGATTTAGGGGTTTCCGGTAGTGCTGATTCCGAAAATCTGATTTGAAATCAGCACTATCGAAAACCCCTGAAACGATAATTGTAAAAAAAGTCCAAAAAGTTACTACTTTACAGTACTACTTATGAAAAAAAAGTGACCATCAAAAAATATAAATGTCAGTTTCAAAATCAGCAACCTCGATTGTCTTAATTTCGACACTTTCATCGAAGAAAAATAATACTTTTCAGTTTCCCCAATTGTCTTTTTCCCAATCGTCCACTTCCCCAATCGTCTCTTTCCCTAATTGACGACGTTCCATTTCCTTGTGTTAAAAAACATTCGGGTTTAAGGGTTTTATTGTAAAATACTCCAATTGTACTTGAACAATAGTCGCTCCCCCGCTTCTGGACTCTACCAGATTTCCGAAAATCGCTACAAGAGATCGAAAAATACCGTAAATCTGTCAAATAACGTTTTTCATAACTTTAAGTCCCAACATCTTTCATTTCCTGCCCTAAATTATCGAATCAATATCGCTTCCAGACGCCCTAACCCTCCACGAACTCTTCGCCGCCAAGGCCGAGGTCTGTTGGCGGGGTTGGAAGGACTTCGAAGGTCGCATCAACGCCAATTCAGCTCAAGCAAAGCTCTATCCGAACCTGAAAACGGTCGATTCCGAACCGATTGGAGGCGTCAGACCATCAGACAGAAGGAGAAACAATGTGATGGAACAATGAAAGAACTGTCGTGAAAATTATATTACGTATTGTCCATAGATTTGATGGGTGTAAAATATTTAATTTATTGAATATTTTGGAGATGCACTGGGAAGTTTCCTTGATCAATGACACATCTTTTTTGGCTTCTTCAATCTTTCAATAGTCTCGAATGAGTGAGGAAGTATCAAAAATGCGGCAAAATGCTTCCCTCTCCAAGTGGAAAACTCCAATTTCAAAAGCGCGCCCGCTCTTTTTGTGAGGGAAAGACCTTCAAAGCGAAGTTTTTCACTAAGACAGGGAGGCATTTTGCCACATTTTTTGATGCTTCCCGGATACAAAGTGGTACGCTTTTGACACTGGATCGGGTCCGTCACTGTATAAGTTTTTGTTTGGAAACACAAGCGGGATGAATTAATCTTTTTTTGCCGGTTTTAGGTGCTTGTTGCCTAGTACAATATAAATTCTTGAGAGAAATTAATATTCTCTTTTCGAGGATTTCGGAGTTTATTAGACGTGAAATGTAAAAATTACTCCGCAGAAGCTTTATTTTCCCGAGCACATGTCATGAAAGACGACAAAAAATATTTTTTTTTGTCTGGCCGGTTCCTCATTTTACGTGTTCTCTCAAAACAACCCGTCAAACATCTAGGCTCTCAACTGAAAGCGCGAGCTAAAATTTTGGGACAATATAATATCATGTTGCCGACATGTGTGTGCTAAATTTGCAGAAAATCGAACGCCCCTATACATAGAATACCAGTTTCCAAATTTTTTTGATGATTTGGGAAATTGAATTCTTGAATTCAATTGCAAAAACCTATGATTAACATTCCATACCAATCTCGTTGAAGCGAAATTATTACCGAGTATAGAAGGAATTAATTAGTTTGTTGAATTCGAAATTAATTAGAGGTCGCAAAAATGTGTCGACTTGGCTTTCACCGCGTGCCTTAGTCAATAAAATTTGCCCTGAGGGCACACTAAGGTCACTGAGTGAAGGCCAAGAAAAGAGCATTTCGAATGGTAGTGCAGCGGTAGCAGTAGTAATAGTAGGCCGAATTGTAGGAATGTAGAGAAATATGGCGTTTCCAAGGCAATTTTTATTTAGAAATAAAGTTTTTTTTAAAATCATGGTCGTCAGATTTTCTTCAAATTTTGCTCACATGGTATAGCTTGGATGTCCATCATCTCCTGAAAATTTAAGCTGGCAATTGGCTTTGAGAGCCGAGATATTCAACGATTTTTTGAGAGAGCACGTGAAATGAGGAGAGACGACCAGACGAAAAAAATTTTCAAAAAATCAACCTTTTATTGAGTTATACTATCAAAAAAATAGCAAAAAACTAATGTTTTTTTGTCAAATTTTAGCGAGTTTTTCCTGAAAAGAAACCATGTTCCGTGGGAATGCTGTTTACGGCATGAGAAAGCGAGTGACAATTTTGAATTTTTCAACAAGAAAAAATATATATTTTTCCCACTTTTCACCGAAAAATCTCGATTTTTGTCTGAAGGCGCGAACCAAAAAACCTGTCCTACAAAGATTTGTCCTACAAAAAATTTGGTGTAAATAGACAACTAACTTTATCACAATATGACGGAAAACGAAAAAAAGTATTTAACAAATTTTCTGCCCCTTTACGGGCATTTTAGTTGTTGTACCGAGGTGCCACTGTATTTGACAAGTACAGCGCCCAGCATTCAAAATGGCAAAAATATAAAGTTCGAGCGGCCCCTAGAAGCTAAAAAACGGGAAATAAAGAAAACACGAAAAGCCGGTCGTTTCGGCCAACTGAAGTTCATGGCCATTTAGGGAAGTTTGGGCGAGTAAAAGCCGACGAGAAGAAAACTCTACTAGAGTTTGGGGAATTAGAATTCCGCAAGCTTGGGTTTAATGGAATGACGGCAATTTGCAAAGTCGAAAAGATTGATTTTCACTGAAATCATCGAATTTTATTCTAATATTGTCATTTAAAAATTTTTCGTTTGCAACTTCGTGCTATAAGCCACCTAACTTTTGCAAGGAAAAAGTTAAATTTAGCTCAGCCAGATGCTGTAAACAGTTGGCAAAGTTGTTTGTGAATAATATTGAGGGCTGGAAAGGAAGTGAGAGCTTTAATATAATTATTGATGCCATGGAAACCGGTGGTTAGCCAGGAGGCGAGAAAATTGGAGAGCTAGAAGACACGAGGGAAGGAAGCGGGAAAATAGGGCAGAAAAATGAGAGAGGCGAGAGGGCTCGCCGAATTTACTCAAGTAAAGATACAGTTTCTCGGAGAATTCACAGCAAGAAAAGTTACATATTTTTGACATTCGTAAGTATACTCAAAACTGGCTGAAAGTCAACACTTTCTTCTGTCCGCTGGAATTATAAATCTCTGTCTTATAAAAATATGTACATTGGGAGAGCTAGAATTAGCCAATCCCACGGGAAAATAATGCATTCGCCGGGGAATCGGCTAAGCCTCAGCAATTTCTAGCCACAAACCAACCGTAGAGCCGTAGTCGACTTTGGAGTGGTACCACGGGTCGTCAGCGCAGAGTGGGCCTTGTTACGTAGCCTGTAGGTCTTCCGCCAGCTTATGGCCAAGCCAAAAAGGTAGCCATTTCTTCTACTGGAAGCTATAGGTATGTTGGACTGGGTGCAGCATCCAGATCATAGCTGGCACAGCCGCATAGGCCGCAATTTTTGTCTCTTTGGAAGAGACAAAAAGTGTGGAGATAAATGCGACCTGGAGAACGAACCACAAAGGGCCTAGTATTGATAGATAGTTGATATGATATGGCTATACCATACCAATACCTGAAAATCCACGCACAATGCAGACCCGCCAAGATACGGCACTTTTTCGTGTAAATTGTAAATTTACACGTGTAAATTAACGGCGACCAGTCAAAGTTAAAAGTTAAAAGTGGCCCGAAAAGAACTTGAAACCGAAAATTTTTTAGTTTGTACCAACCTTTCCACGAGCTTTGCACACTTACTATTTTTCAGAAATAGCAGAAAATTAAGCCTTAGGTATTCTTAGTCAATTTATTTAAATAAAAATCGAAAGCCCATGCTCAGAATTGAAATTTGCTAAAGGCTGACTTTATTTTTCAGTCAGTCGAAAGGGCAATCTCTCCCACAGCTTCAATGAACTTCCTCGTATTCAAATTTGGCCCCCAACTCACCGTCCTTCCACTGCAGCAAACTCATTTATTTTGGGTACTTATAAAAGACGCATGGCCGGCGGACGAAACCCCCGCCACCCAAGCGGCGAAACCCAGGCCCAAATAAAGTGCGGATTCATTAAGGGAAGGGGGGCCGGGGCAATAGGGGGGCGCCGGGACTCTCGAAAAAAGCGAAAAAAAGCCAAGGGGGCATGTGCCAGGGCCGTCTCGCAATTAATTCGAGCCATGGAATATCCGTTTTCCTTTTTCGCTTTTTATGGAAAAAGCCCCCCGAAACATCTGTCCCCGTCCTCGTTTTCTCCGGCCCCCTCTCGCGGCGTGCTGGTCCGTCGCATGCGTCCGGTTATAAGGCAGCATGCAATCGGATTAAACCCGCTGAATATCCGAGTGTAAATCGAGAGCAACGGCCTCGTATTAACCCACATCATTAGGTAGATATTGCGGATGGACGGCGGCGTGGGACAAACGGCGAAATTGCAGATTGGCACCAGGTGAAACTTCGAGTAATATGAGGGAAAATGAGACCAATTATAAGAATGAGTATGTACTAGACATGGCTCTGCGGCCGGGCCGGGCCGAAAATTGCGAATACGCTAACAATTGTAAGAACTCTGAGACAAAAGCCGTCAAATTTGCCGGGATTTGCTACGTTTCGATCTCTTCACCAAATATGAGATGGAACTGTATACAGTAAGGCACGCTACTGTGTAAACAAGTAGAATCGCAAAATTTGAAAAATCCCAAAATTTTTCAAATTTTTTGTTAGTACGCAGTGCCAGCTTTGATCGTGAAAAAATAAGAATTCTTTCAGCAGCTGAAGAGTTCAACATATATAAATCAATTTTCCATCAAACAAAGTCCAATAGTGATTGTAAGGACACGTTTTTTGTCCAACCAACTCCCCTTATTTTGTGTGCTCTCTTGGAAAAATGGCACCGGAGTGTAATCCAAGCGTGACTCACATATTTTGATGTGACTTGGCTCAAAAGCGTTCGATAGCATTGAATTCTAAATTGACTTGGCTCAAATTTATATTAATTCTTTGTAAGACCTGTTCGAGACTCCTAGTCCATGCTTGGCAGAAACAGCCGAGATTTTTAGGTCGACAGAGGCAAAAAATGTGTCTTTATTTTGTGAATTTGAGCAAGAAAAATTGCCAATTGCGACGCTTAGATTTTCTTTAAATTTTACATAGAACATAACTCTTTCATAACAAATAAATTGCCTGCTCTCATGCGTTGTTCAGAGGTTGGCCATTTTCTGAGTTACTTCTATTTGTGTTCACAGTACAGTACAACTCGTACCAGTTTTCCATCCACAGAATTCCAGGTTGAAGAAGCTGTCTTTCCCGTCCTTGATTATTTTCCCGAAATGGTCTATGGTATTGCATATTACATTCATCATTGTCGCCGCCCGATCAATTCGGAAACATTAGCCACGGCGTTTTAGTTCCTCGTTGATTTTAATCAGCCCGACAGCTCCAATCACCGGAGAGCCACAACGTTTTTTTACACCAACCGCTAATGCGAAATTCGCAGAACCTTGGGAAGAGCGGAGAGAAAAACATGGATCATTGTTATGAAATTGTGTTTTTGAAGGGAAAAGAGCGACAACTTTTGTATGTAATCAGGGAGAAACGGAAGGCGAGATTTTCCGAGAGAGAATGAATCAAGTCTAACAAGGGAAGTACTTCAAGTGCGACGCTCAGATCTTCTTTAAATTTTGGGAACAGATCAGGTATAGGTCACATATTAATCCATGAAAATTTCAGCTCAAACTTTGCAGGCACCGTCGAGATGTTGAACGATCTTTGCAACCGAGAGAGCACACAAAGCGGAGAGCGGTGACAGAGAAAAGTACTTTGGAATGGACATGAAACTTTTCATGGTAGCCTTAGAAAAAAAGTGGCAGATTTCTTCCATCATTTCACCTAAAAATCTTGTTCGTTTATGCAAAACGCAAGTTGGGAATGTCGCATGTCTAGGAAAAAATAATCATTGCGCCAAGACTCATTAAAACTTGAGTGCGCACATGAAGCCAGTCTGCTGTTAGCCTAAAATTATCTCAATGAAATTATGTGAAGGTTCGTTATGCACAGGCTTTGTTTTGTCGATATTTGGAGGGATTTCTATGCGTAAGAAATTATGAGGAAGTCCCTGTACTCTGAAGTTTCCAAAACGCTACCAAAAATGTCCGTTATTCGCTTCGATTCAAGAGTGTGACGTGAAATCATAAAACCCTATTTATGACCTGTTTCCGAACTGTTTAAACGGTCGTAAAATGCGAACAAGCCATAAAAACATCAGGACGGTCAGGTAGATACTAAAATTTTTACAAAATCAACAATTAATATTGGAAAAATTCTTGATGAAAATTTGCAGTGAGGGTTACTGTAATAAGAGTCAAAAGATCAGCGGTTTTTGCACTTTCGACAAATCAAGTCTATGTCGTTGACGTCATTCTTTTGATCTTTTGTGGTCTCAATCTGAGAGGTTATTATAGAAATGTTGAAAACGGTTTGATCGAAAAATTAGATTTTAATCAATAAGTTCAAAAACGAAGCTATGAGAAATTACATATTGTTGCGGCCCATTTTCGGCCATTTTTGAGACTTGGACGGTTGAAAATTTCAAAATGTTGAAAATCTTGTAAAATACAAATAGAAAAGTTGGAGTATCAGTGTGTCGGGAGATGAGCGCAACGCTAGGCCAATCGCGTCGCTGAAGTGAGAAGCAATTTGATTTTGCCGCGACACAATTCATTTTCACGGCGACTGTCGAAAGGCCTGACAACCCAGTAACGACACAAGACGAGAGCTCAAGAGTCAAGTGATTCATTCAGGGGAAAGGAGGCCTTTTATAGGGAAGCCCCACGTAGGAAAGTACAATCAAATTTGAATAAATGCAGATCGTTCCTCGTGGGAAAATCCTGGAAGCTCGGTCGTTCCGCCTCACAGCGACGATGCCATTCAAGTGTTCGTTATTTTCCCGACAGATTGACACGTATAAAGCCTGCTAGACTGCGTCATCGCTACATACTGAATCATCATCTTATAAGAGATTTGCAAATTTGTCCAACTTTTTTTTTGGCCACGTTATCTCCGAAACCTTTTGCTTTCTGTCGTCTGCAAATTTCGTCGATTATCTCGATTACTGCTATGAAACAAAGGGTCAGATTCCCATGTTATTAAAGACCCACATTGCTTGTTCTTATGCAGTTAAAAGATTTAGCTTTCTAGCTTTCTCTTGAAAAAAATTGATGCTTCTACATTGACCTTTTTCGCTGACTCACAATACATCCAAAAATCGGATTCTAAGCTCCTGTAATTCCCTCTTGATCTCCATTCCACACAATATTCGGCAGATCACCTTTATCTCCCTGATTTGTATTCGTGGGAAGGCGCAATAATATTTACTTCCCCTAAATTGTTTAATTTCTCTTCACTTATAATCGCTATTTTTGTTTATTGACCTGGAAATGTAACACCGACGAAGGTGGAGTAAGAAAAGAAAAAGTTACTAATTGAACGCGCTCTCCAATTACAAATCAAGGATCATCTTCGACTCGGGGATGAAATTACTAGCACTAATAAATTTATGGGCCGCTAATCTTTTTGTGTTTGTTAATGCATACTATAACAGCTATTATAACCAAGGTAAGAGTGCGAGGAATGATTTGCATAGTGCTATCTTTACAGGGGAAATACCCCAAGTGCGACGCTCAGATTTTGATGAAACTTGTAACAAATTTAGAGTAATTTTTTCTATGACATATGCAAATATCCTAGCTTGTGCTTTGCAGAAATAACCGAGATTTTTAGATCGAGAGTCGCCGAAAATTTGAAAATTTTTGCCGAATTTCGTCACAAAAATTCTCATGCCTATTTCTACCGTAAGGGGTAATGTCTCCACAAAAAATCATTTTTTGCAACTAGCAAAGTTATGGCCAAAAAGTGTTTTTCTCCTTGCAGGCGCAGGCTAATTATTCAACGATCTTTTTGGTCGAGGGGATACGCGAAATGCAGAGAGCGGCCAGAGAGGAAATGCTGTTTGACTATACCGTTGCTAGTTTTGATTGGAAAAAATTAATTTTCTGTGGAAGCACTGCCCTCTACTGTAGAAACAGGTGTGAAACATTTCATGCCAACACACAAGAAAAGTGCCAAGCCGCATTTTTTTTCTGGCTTTTTGCCCAAAAAATCTCAGTCGTTTCTGCAAAGCGCAATCAATGGGTCTCGAATTTTATATTTTCAGAAAAAAATATCTTAATTTATACCAAGTTTCGTCAAAATCTGAGCATCACATTTATAAGACTTCTCCCAAAAATAAGGACCTTTTTTACTGCCTTACCACTGCCTCATGCATTCTTTTTTTTCAGGTTACAACTACAACTCCTATCAAGACTCCACAAACTGCCAATACAATTACTATGGATGCGGCGCCTACAACAATATAAACTATGACTATTATTATCAGCGATACGAAAACTACCATCCAAGCTACACTGCCACCGGATATTACTCAGGCTCTCGTGGCTCTTACTATGGCACCCCGGGAATTGCGGGGCTGTGGTTGGTCTGTCACAGCTGCGGACGGAATGGTGGGGGGAAATGAGTTGCAATTGTTTGTACATTTCTTTGTTGATCTTTTTTTTGGTGTTCAATTTGGTCATCTTTCTGTACAGAAAGCCTTTCACTGACTTGGCAAATACGCGGTAAATACTTTGTATTATATACGAATAAAATTATAATATTTCCTGATTGTCAAAGTAGGTCGACTTTTACACGGAGTGCCTTCGATTTTCTTCCTGTATATGACATATTTTTTGATTTATTCTGATACGCGTTTGTTCGTAAACTCGCTAAAGTGGTTTTTTTTGGGATTTGCACCGCAAAATAAAACACAGAGCGACCGACATGACGCTCATTTTTTGATAGTTACTTTTTTCCTTAAGTAGTAATGCAAAGTAGTAATTTTTTGATTTTTTCCATAAATATTCGATTTAGGGGGTTTCGATGGCCATTCGCGATGGTGCTGATTTCGAAAATCTTATTCATTTTTTCTGATTTGAAAGCAGCACTACCGAAAACCCCCAAATCGAGTATTACGAAAAAATTAAAAAATTACTACTTTACAGTACTACTTAAGGAAAAAAGTAACTCACAAAAACATGAATTTCATTTTCGAAATCAACACCCTCGATTATCCTAATTTCGGCATTTGTATCGAAGAAAAATAATACTTTTCGGTTTCCCCAATCGTCCCAGTTCCAGTGCAAAGTGAACCTTTGCTTCCTCAAAGTTCAATTCGCCGAACTCACCCCAACAACTTTGATATGATTTTTCAAACATTTATCTCTCATCTTTAAACCTTCTAAGGCTTTTCGAACGCAGGAGATCCCTCAATATCTCCACCGTTGAACGCTTGAACCCAGTCTCGGCGTTCTCCATGACTCAACCATTCCCTCGCGAAAACTCGATTCCTCGCCATTGACGATTTATCCGAGGAAAGGAAGCCGAACTCGCACCAAAAATAGCGCGAGATCAACAGCGCTAAAGACGAAGAAGAAAATAAAAATTGTGGTTTATGGTCGCGCCACGCAACGAGAATGCAAGAGCCGGATAGCCGGGATACGGTCGAGCTCAGCGGCAAAAATTGCAGCAGGATCAAAGACGAAAGTCCGAATTTTTGGGAGAAAATTGGGAAAAGCCAATGGAGCAATGTTTCCAGAGCTGTTTAGGGTGATAGAAAGAGAAAGGGGAATTTAGGAACGTGACATAAAACAACGTCATGGAGAAGTGTCTATGTGTACCAAGGAGTTAGTTGGTGCCATAGATACCTTTTTTAAGAGATTTCTCTTGCAAGGTAAGTCTTACCAATTGATTGGAGTTTGTAGGCGAGATCCCTAGCTCGCGCTGTCTAGAAATTACCGAGATTTTTTGATCAAGAGGTGTAAAAAAATTTATTTTATTTTTGCTTTTTTATGCTTGAAAATTCCAGGTCCAATTACTATTGTAAGTCATGGCCAAAAACTGTTCCTCGACTGACCGATTATTATCATTTTATTTGCTGTCTTGGAAACATGGCAGGCTAATATCCCGGCCGCTGCTGGAAGGCGCGAAGTAAAACTGTTGGAAATTGAGATGTGGTAGTTCGAAGCTATGAGAAATAATCAGCCGCATGAAATATCAGAACGACGCCTTGCGGGATGTCCGATCTTCGCATGTCATAGCCATTGATGCCTGGTTCGGAATACTACTCATTTGTTCTCAATCTATGTATGGTGTTTCTATTTTTGGTTAACTTTGCGCGTGAACCTTTTTCTGCAGGATTTCTGTTGTCACGTGTTGCATTCACATCCAAAATATCGCTAGCTAGGAGTCATACAGATGTCTAGAAGAAGTTTACTTAAAACTTGTGTCATGTTTCGTCAAAGTCTGGGCGCTGTAATAGCACTCTTCTCGTTAAGCCTTATTATTACGCTGATGAAATCTTCCTCCCAAAAATAGTCCATCAAATTAACAAATATTCTTTTATTAATGTTACAGGAATCTATCAACAAATTTTTGGATTCAAATCTTCATTAACTCTTGGGTTTTACCCCCGCCCACAGTTATGGCAGACCAGCCACATCCCAGCCATCTCGTTTCCCAATAACACACCGCTCTTTCCCGAACTGTACGTAGAACTTCCGCTATACCCGCTTGACGCCGGCTGGCTATAATAGCTGCTGTAGTACGGATAGTGGTATCGTTGGGGTCCGTAGTAGTTCGTATATGGTGGATAGTAGTAGCTTCTCTGTCCATAGTAGTTGTAGTAGCTTCCGGGATGGTGCTGATAATAGTTGCCGTAATAGTTATGATTGTAGTTGTAATTGGCATATTGAGCGGTTCCACATGAGATCAGAAGGAAGGCCAGCGCAACGGTAGAGGATACCATGGTCAGAAATGGCGGTAAACTTTTGAGTTGATCAAATTGTCCAATGAAAACACCACAGGAAACCGAAGAAGGTCTTGTTTCAGCAGCAGAGCGCCTTGACTGGCTAAATCAAGACGTCTACTGACCTGTGCAGCTCGGTATCTTATATACTAGCCTATTTATTACCCATATCCGGCATTGTTTTTTATTGCATTGCAAGGCGGGCCGTTGGGCGCTGAAGCGTCAAAATCCCAGGGGTAATTTGGAGTTTATATGCCGTTCCATGTTCCAAAATAACTTGTGTGGAATTTAAGGTCGTGAAGGGATCAGAATTGGAAAACATTGGGATTTCTTGCAATCTTTTTCGTCTTTTTTGTTTTCAGTGGGAGATAGGTGTGACTAGTATATTACCAATCGCTCTAGCGCACAGAAAATCTCATTACTTTGTCGTCCATTATTTTCTCTATATCCAAAGACAGTATTATCCATCAAAATCTTGGATTTTCTCTTTCCCTCTCTAACGCTCTCTTCTATTTCCCAAGGTATTTTCCCGCGAGCTCCGCCCACTTTCTGCTGGCATCCCCGATCGCAAAGTGCATTCGCGAAAAATGTGAAAATCAGGGGAGTCGGCGCGAGTCTCGAGCTCGAGAGAACGGGAAAATGAGTCAGCTGAGAACTGGATTTATTCCCTTACAAAAAGGGATTTTCCGCGGCTGCAAGAACAATCTGTTTTCCGACAAAAAAGAGAAAGGAGCTGGGAAGTTTATGAACAACTGTAAAAGTCGTAAAAGTCGGTGCAGAGGTCGGCAAGGAAGCGAATTTGCAAAAATAAGATTTTTGATTCGTTTTTTAGGGGAAGAGCTGAAAATCCAGGTCGCAGTTCGGGATTAGCCTTAGTAAGAAGCTAGATTACCAATTTGGTTGACGTTTGTTTGACCTTGCACTTTGCAGGAACAATTTTCAGTCCGAAAGCGTTTTTGCGAGTTTTCGGATGACAAATATATACCAGGCTTATTTCTGCTGCAGAAGTTCTTACAAAAATCGACTTTTTTCCAACCGAAATTGAGATATTACCTCTCTGACCGCCTTCCTCATTTTGCGTACTCTCTCGGCTCCAAAGACCATTGAATTTCTCGGCTGTTATGTAAAGCAGGTGCTGAAATTTTCAAAAATTTTTTTGTGGCCTATGCCTGACCAAAACTTAACAAAAATCTTTTTGTATACAGTTTACCTCGTCAACAAAAATCCCAAGCCTAATTAAAGCACATGTGAATTTATTATTGCTCGTTTAAAAGTCTTGTGACAGTTGAGATCGTTGAATATTCGTTATAAAACAGGTGCTACAACAGTCTGAAAGCATTATGAAAACTCCTTTTTGGCACTCTATTATATTTTTCTTTGTGCGTGGTTAAGTGAATTGCAGGTACGTTGAGAAGAGTTGTTTTGTAAGCGGAGGCTGCGCTAAGCGACAGACAGTAAGTAGTTCATCGATTCCAGCGCGTCTTTCAGTGCTTGCTCAAAGGCAATGCCGTTGGTTCGGTCGTTGGATTTCATATCGCTTATGGCGAAGATTATCTTGTGAGGTTGAATGTTATAAGCGCAGCCATAGCCGTCGTTGACAACAGGGCCGTAGCAGAGGTAAGTGCCTTCGAAGACGGGGTTGGTGGAGACCTGAAGAATTTTACATTATTTTTCTGATACTATCAAAAGCGTTGTATATAACGCTATTTTGTCAATTGATATAGTTAAAAGTTCGATCTATCATGAATGGTTTGCAACTAGAACAAGCAAGACTTTCCAGTTAAAGGGAAAGTTTCCTTTTTGTCCGTCTGACTCTCCCTATTTTAGCTGATCTATTGCCTACAGTGATGGACCTGATCCAGTGGCAAAAAAAGTAGCATTTTGTATCCGGGAAGTATCAAAAATGTGGCAAAATGCTTCCCTCTTCAAGTGAAAAAACTCCGATTTCAAAAGCGCGCCCGCTCTTTTTGTGAGTGACCCTTCAAAACGGAGTTTTTTTGACTTGAAGAGGAAGGCATTTTGCCACATTTTTGATGCTTCACGGATGCAAAATGATACGTTTTTTGCCATTGGAGCGGGTACTTCACTGTACAAAGCCCAATCTTAAATTTTGAAATTTTGAATGCTTCGTAAAACTAACATACATATATAAATATTATAGATATTAAAACCAAAAAAAGTATAAACCTAACCATGTTTACCTGACTTGTAGTCAATGGGAACCTCAACGTCTCCCGATAAGTCTGCTGTTCGAACATCTCCGGCATTCTCTTCAGCCGGCCCCGCGAAACATTCTCTTTGGCCAAGCACTCCAAAGCGCAGAGATGGTTGTCAATCCCGAAGCCGTTTATATTCTGCAAGTTTGTTATCTTCAATTGGCAAGCGTAAAAATTCGCGCAACGGGTCAAGCAAGCGACTCACCTCTCCCGTCAACAGAAACTGCTTCTTGGCCGCTTTCTCGAACAGACTTCTTTTTTCCGAGTCGGGAACGCTCCGGTCGTTCATCGACTGTACCCACGCCAGAGCTTCTGGCGTTGCGGCGCGAATGTTGTCAACGCGACCGTAGCGGAACTTGCGGAGGGTAGCGCTTTCGTATGTGGAGACGAGGTAACCGTGGAGCCTGGAAGCGGGCTTTTAGTAGAGAAAAAGGATTGCTTAATAGGGACCGTACAAAAGAGAAAAATTTGCCCGATTGAAACTCCTTGCCCTGATGCAGCGACGGGCCTGATCCAGTGGCAAAAAACGTCCCATTTTGCATCCGGGAAGCATAAAAAATGTGGCAAAATGCCTCCATCTTCAAGTGAAAAAAAATTTGTTTTGAAGGGCGCGCCCTTGCCCTCACAAAAAAAACGGGTACGCTTTTGAAGTCGTAGTTTTTTTACTTCGAAAGGGAGGCATTTTGCCACATTTTTGATACTTTCCGGATGCAAAATGGTAAGTTTTTTGCCACTGGATCAGATCCCCCACTGTAGTGATTTCTATCGCGCCTAAGCCTCTAAAAAACTCCTCACTCCTTACCGAAAATGAGCCAATTGCATGGCCAGTTGAACGAATCCATCGGGACTAACTCCCATCCGTTTGATCTTTTCCTTTCCGTACTCCTCAAATGTGTAGACCGTCAAACGGAGATCCGTCACTAAATTGTCGTAATCATAAACGAATTTGTCCAATTTGGCTTTGTTCTCTTCGGTCACCACCCAACTCAACGGCTCATGTTGTACGTTCCCTAGGAATGGAGGAAGTCGAGCGTGGGTTGGGCGGTTTTCGTTGACCCAGTGTTGAACATGCTCCATCATGGTGATGATGACCATTCCTTCGGCCACGCTGTGCTCAATGGCCAGACCGTTGAAGCCGTCAAGAGAGACAACCAGCTGAAGACGAAGGTTTCAAGTTTTCAATACAAGTTTTGCATATTGCGACTTCATATCATATTTCTAATCTAATACCTGAATTGTTGTGTCGAACCAACGATTTAGCCCATAGGCATCGGATCCACAGCCATGAAGAATGAGATCGCCTGCAGTTTCCAGGTGATTGTCATGGAATGCCCGATGAGGGACGCATCCATCCAAACAAACGGCAAACACAGCGTCTTGGATCAGCTTCAAGGACTTGGCATTTCTTTCATCTAAAAATTAAAAGTCTGTTTTTATTGTACTTTTATATTCTACGAAGTGACTTTGGTATGTTCTGTGTAAACTGGGAAAAATCAGAGAGCTAACTTCTAACAGAATCGCATTAACTTTTGTCTCTTGCATTTTGGAGAAACGAGCGGCGTTTTTGTGTCCAATTACGGCATGAACTTGATATTCATCTACTCATGTACAGTGAGGGACCTGATTCAGTGGCAAAAAACGTGTCATTTTGCATCCAGGAAGTATCGAAAATGTGGCAAAATGCCTCCTTCTCCAACAAAAAAAACTCCGTTTTGAACGTTTCTTGAAAGACCCTGTATTTTTCCCCCACAAAAAAAGTGGGCGCGCTTTTGAAATCGGAGTTTTTTTTTCTTGAAGAAAGAGGTATTTTGCCGCATTTTTAATACTTCCCGGATGCAAAATGGTACGTTTTTAGTCAATGGTCCAGGTCCGCTACTGTAACAGAATCATTCTCTTTGAAGCTTTCAGGGCGATTTTAAGACTACAAAATGTTTATCTGGACTATACAGCAGCTACAATTCGCAAAATCTCCTTACGTTCCAACATGGATTCCCAAAACGTTGCAGCCTCATCGCGTTGCGCGCCGGTCGCCGCCGCGATCGGTGTCACATTCACTCGATTCCGATTCCTGGCTTTGTTCACAATCTCTCTCAGCTGGGCGGCAATCTCGGTCGGGCCCAACGCAACTCCATCCTTCCGCACATACAATATAAAAGCTTGAGCTTCGCACATCACAAGCAGGTGCTGATCCGCATTGAGACCGTTTCGATAGCGATGCGAAAGGTGTTTGTCGCAGCCCACTGCGGGTTGGCGATAGATGCCAAGCAGCCGGTCGTATTGGTCCATACACATGGGGTAGCCGGAACGGGATTTGTCTTGTTCCAGGCCGCGTCTGCAAATTGTTGGATAGATATTATAGAGAGAGTTTCTTGAATGTGTAAAAAAAGCTCTTGTTTCGTATCAGTATGTCCGGAAAATAATAAGCTCACTGTCGCATAAAAAATTGCATCGCCATTGAGAAAATGAATTGTGTTGTGATGCCGTTATAATAAAACATTCAGTTTGACCCCTTATTCGTTCGTTTTCTGACTTCTTTTTTGCAAAAAAAGCATGTAGACAGATGCATTTATTATACCGAGATTGGCCTCAACGGAACGAAAAAAAGGCAAATTTCTTGGTCATTTTTTGAGACTTGAGCCTTGGATTTAATACGATCCATTCATTTTGCAAATTTTTTATACGCCCTTGTCTCAATAAGAGCTTGAAAAAAACATGAAATTACTTGTCAATGAGATCCTTGAAGTTCAAAATTCCTTTGGCCATCCACGCCGCGAAGAGGAGCCAGTCGTCCTCGTCGTAGAACACTTGCCTCGGGAAAATGTAGCCCGGACTGGAGTAGACTGGAAGAGGATACCTCGGCTTCAAGTACATGGTCTCTAGCCAGTATTTTACTATCTGAAAAATTGAAAAAATGACAGTTGAAAATGTTAATTTCGTATTTTGAAGTTAAAAATTATTTTACTTTTTTTGTGATCCGAACATTTCCGGTCAATGTCAAATTTGGCCGGTTTTGTGGCCGTTAAGTTTTGGCCCTCTGAATTTTGACTTGACCAGTCTTAATGCAGATGAAAATCAGCCTGTCGGGAAATAATGAAGATTTGAAACTATGCGATTTTTGATACGACATTATTATTTTCCCGGCCGACTGATATGTGGTGTTTTTTGACCAAAATTTTTGCTTTATTTTTTTACCATTTTTCCACCTCTTCCGTGTTTTTTCGGATTTCCTTTATTCCCCCCACCTACCCAATTCTCTTCCACCTCGGCAATTTCTTTCAGCTCATCTTGCAAGGCTTCCGCTATCGGAAAGAACCTTCCGACCGCACTTTCCACATCCTCTGCTGGCACCTCATCCCAGCTTCGGACCACCGACGCGTGCTGAAGATATCTTTCCAGCGTATGCTCCAATGATGGGATTGGAGGCTTCGGAAGGGGAGTCTAAAAAGGTTTTATAGCAATCAAAAAAAGTGTTTTCTTGTGATGGAAAGGTTGAAAATTAGCTAAAAGATAAAAATTTCAAAAATGATGACATTTTGATCTATATACAATAACTTTAATAAATTTTGATCGTAGTTTAAAATCGTAAAATTTTGTGTCGATTCTAAGCAAAAAAGTCGCTTTCACAACAATCAAGAAAGCTACAACCACCACCACAACCCAGTGATTACAATTCGTACAGCACTTACGTCCTTCAGCCCGAACTGCGCGTCCACCTGGTTTGCGGTCGAGAATCCCATCCATTGTTGGTCGCCGAAGGGATGGCCAAACGACTTGGACGGTGCCAGAAACATGAAACGCCCCGCATTCTTGGAGAGCCCGCATAGCGTGTTTACTCTGCCCGAAAGACACCATTGTAGAGTGCGTGGGCCCAACATGCCCGTCTCTATACATCATCCGAAAGGCGGTTAACAATGTTACACACGAAACAATTAGCATGAAGAGGAGTCTTCGGGATGTGATGAAGAGAAGATGGGGACTTAGGTTTGGTGGTGAGAGGCTTCGATGAAATTGTAGACAGTCTCGTTAAAGCTTTTAGAAGTGATCAGTTAAAAATCCCGAACAGACTGTTATTTAGTGCGCCTTTGATTGCATAATGAAATGCTTTGAAATTTGTTGTAGACTGCCTCATAAAGTAATGAAAAAGAACTATCCTAACCTAACATATGTAAGTAAGTAATCATTTTACTTTCTGTATTTTTTCACTCATTTTGGTAAAAAAATTTCTTGACATATCGTTTCCCAATCCGCAAACTTTCAGTTCAAAAAAAATGTTTTCTCTTTTTATGAGATCAGTGAAGTTTATTTTAACAGGCTCTTGAGATAGCAAATTTATCGTTCTGCAGAGTTTTGGCTGTTACTATCAGCCTGTCGGGAAAATAGTGAGCAAAATGTCGCTACGCCGATCGCGTCGCTGATGAAAAAAGCAACTTGAAATTTATCGTGACAATTCGTTTTCCCGGCAGCGACGCGATTTGCGATGCGACAGTGTTTTCATTATCATATCAGTCTGTCCGGAAAGTAACGGCGGATTGTTGCAGCAAAATGTCTGCAGCGGCTTTCAGTCGCAAAGCGATGATGGGCGATTCCGAGGCGCGACGATCCGCCGTTATTTTCCCGACAGACTGACATTATTTTCCCGACAGACTAAAATAAAGAGGTTTGTGACAGTATGTGGGATACATAAGACAACGTATAAAAAAATGGATGTAAAAAAATTCTCTCGGGAATTTCACTGTTATTGCTAGTAAATTTTCAGTAAAACCTTCCCAACTAATAAAAAAATTCTATAAGGGCCAAAGTTGGGAAGAGAAATTACATTATTACTGTAATTTCTCAATAGTATAATAATTCTTCGACAAAATAAATATCAATTCATTTCCTGTCGAAAGCCATGGGAATTTTACCAGGCACACTAAAAAAGTTGAGAAAATGCTCACCCAAAAACGAACTGATCCTAAAGAGGGGGAAAACGTAATTAAATTTCGTATCCCCAGAGACCGGCCGTTTAGAAGAGATTAGCAAAAGATGAAAAACTTTGAGCAGAAAGGAGAATCCGTACAGACAGGAAGTGAGTTATTACGGGGCTAAATTTGTATTTTTTTCCAATTCCAAAATTGTAAAATACTGTTATTTTTCACGACTTAATTCTACCGATTTTATAGAGAACTCTATTTGTAATCGGCTATAATAAGGAGTTTCTACAATAAAAAGACAAAAACCGGTGACCACAATAAAATGACGCGACAATATCGACTACAGCAAATTGCAGTGCAAACAGCCAGAAGTAAGTTGCGGAGAAATTTCTTACCGGGCTCCAATCACAGCTCAGGTATCCATTATGAAAGGAATTCGCCTCGGGAATCACCGGAATTGAGGCTTTCTTGAAAGGTGGCTCTCGGCTGAAGGAGCTGCGGGAAGAGGTATTTGAAGTGATGGAGACCGAGGTGGAAGAGGTAGCGACCTTTGATTCGTTGGACTGGACTAGTTGACGAAGCCAATCAGCCATTTTTGAGTCTGCAAATAAAGAGTTGAATCTTGATTTTTTTGAGTTTTGAGGGAATTTGAGGATTTTTGAGGGAGAAAAGATAAGTTTTTGAAAATTTTTTCATTTCATTTCAATGTTTAGGCTAAGAATATCAAAAGTCATCAAAAATTGACGAAGGTTATCCAAAAGTTGCCAAAAAGTATCAAAAGGTATCCAAAAATTTTCCAAGGCTCAAAAGCTTGAAGTTTTAGCGCAAAATATCGGTCTGTCGGGAAAAAAACGGCGGATCATCGCGCCTCGGAGTCGCCCGTCATCGCTTTGCGACTGCAAACCGCGGCTTGGCCTTTGGTGCGCGATAGCGGCGAGGCGAGACATTTTGCTGCGACGATCCGCCGTTATTTTTCCGACAGACTGATAAATGCTCCTGAAAAATTAATATCCCATCAAAAAATCGCCCGAAAGCCCTCCAAAATCCTCAAAAGTTCCATTCTTCAAAACGAACACAGTTTTTGTCGCACTTGATTCCCCTACAGCACAGCTACAACACAAACTCCCCGAACCCATCCCCAATTTATCGTCTCCTCCTCTCAAACAAAGCCCAAAGCGTGCGTCAAAAACTTTGTTCATTTCGAAAAAAAACATTTTCTTACAATCAAAAAACAAACTGAAACTTACAACATTTTCGGGGACGTCAATTAGGGCCAAATAGAGAAGCTGAACAAGGAAATACCGAAGAATTTTTGAGGCACTGGGGATATGTTAATAAAATTTATTAAGTTTTTTTTGCCACATCAACATAAAAACGGAGAGAAATGGGGAGTGAAATTTGGCCACTTTGGAGATCATAAAAGCCTTTGAATGAGACCGGATTTGAGGAAACGAATGTGTTCGGAAACTGGTATCATATAGCATGTATAATATAGGAAAGTGTGTCGCTCAAAGACCGGAGCATTTTTTTGAAAAAATTAAAAAAAAATGTCATGTATAGGGTAGATAGCTGGCGTGGAATTAATAAAAATTCTGATTCTGGCCCTTGCGCGACAACACTTCAATTTAGGCACTCTTTTTTTATACAAGAAAAAAGTGTTTTTGGTGCTGGAAAGTCAAAAAAATCTCTATTTAAATCTGCACAATACTCAGTCTCTAGGCTACAAGTTAGACAAATGAAATTTCAATAGCAAGATGGGATAAAAGCGACAACAAAAAAAAATATAATGCATAGAATTCAACAGTATTTTTCTCGATCTTCTACTACTACCATTGTGGATTTAACGGATCATATCCCAGATTCGGTTGGACTGGCGCTGCGGTCTGATAGCTGTCCGCGAAGGGGTTGGCTAGCGTTGGCTTCGGTGGCTCCACAGGCTCTACGTATCCGTTAGAGCTGTTCAGCAATGGCGTCTCGGCTTTTGGTCCCCCGTTGAGTCCCTGTTGAGCTCTGCCATTCAACTGCTCATAGGCGTACACCTTCTTCAGCATGTAGAGGACGGGAAGATAGCCCAGATTGAGAACACATATGAGGATGTTGAGTGTGACGAAGCCAAAGTTGTGAACGATGCTGCCCGCAATGATCGGGCCAAACGCATACGCCAGACTGTAGCTGATGTCGGCAATGGCGTAAACCGAGCCATACACACTGACATGTCGAGTGTCCACCAAGTAGCCCAACATTGGCAAAAGCGAGGTGTCAATTAGAGCGATGCCAAAGCAGATGGTCGAAAGTGGGATGACCAGTTGGAAGATGGTCGAAGTGAACGGGATAAATGCGCAGCTAATACCTTCCATCGCCAAGCCAATCACAGCGAAAGCGTACGGATGCTGTGGGAATTTTTGCAGCATCTTGACGGTGACGTACACCCCAAGGACATGGGGGAAAAATGGCGGGAACCAGACCATCCCGACCATCCATTTCGGAGTGTCCGGCATGGTGATCGACATCCATGTGGTAATGGTGGGCTCCAGGAAAGCGAGCGAGATGTTCGCCATGATCAAAGCGCCCGAGCATATAGCGACAAACGGATCCATGAACAGCTTCCACATCGGTGTGCCATTCAGCTTTTCGCCAGTGTCGGAGACCTGCGGAGCTTTGGGTTTCTCTCCGGTTTTCGGCTGAATCACCATGAACACCATGAAGGCATCCAGAAGGCAGATGAGGGCAAGAATAAGGAAGGGCACGGGTTTTCCGGCAACCGAATAGAGCACGGATCCGAACGGTGGGGCGACCAAACAACCGAATGAAATGAAGGCCAGTGCGATTCCGAGCGCCGCCGAACGCTCGCCCTCTTCGGTGAAACGATCCGCAATCATCGCAAGGCCGGAGGTGTCGGCGAATGCTGAGCCAAAGCCCTAAAGCAGAGAACATGTATTCTGGTTTTGTAAGATGGGAACGAGGCTCTTAGTACGGTCAAGAAAACGAGCTTTATCAAAAGTACATCTCTGTTGCCTCGAAAATCGCATCGCGAAAAAAATGATGAGAAAATAAATTGTGTCGATTGGCACAGCGAAATTGTGCTCATTATTTTCCCGACAGGTCGATACTCTCTCTTTTCTGGCTCATTTTATTTCCTGAACACACCAACAACCTCTACCCCGCCACAAGGAAAAACAGAAAGAGATGAAAAGCCATCAACTCTCACCTGCAAAGACCTGGCAAAGAACAGCACACTGTAACTCCGTCCCAAAGCAAAAATCGCCGTCGAGCTGAACATAACGACCAACCCAATAATCATGGGCAGCTCATAGCCGATCCGATCGATGACAAAGCCGGAGAACGGGTTGACAAAAATCTGCAACAAGGCCTTGGATGCGAACAACCATCCCAACTCCATGTCCTCATCGAGATAGTCGATTTCTCCGCCGACCATCTTCACGATCACCGAGCCGTTCTTCAGCTTGTGGGTCTCATTGTGATACCCGACGTATTGCACGTCGTAGGCGTGGATCTCGCGCAAATATCGAGGGATGATCGGGACAATCACCATGTACAACATGTTGTCCAAGAGAAGCGCAATGGAGACGACGACCAGGACGAGTTTCTTTTGAATCTGCGGATCCGAGGTGTTCTTCAGGATCCAGGCCTTGAGCCAGTCCGTGTCCCGGTTCAAAATCGGGATATTCCGACCCATGACGACTGGAAAAATGGGGCTTAACATGAGAGGCGAAAAACGATTTTTTTTTATTAAACACGCATATCAATGGCAAATCTGATGACTGTTTTTGGCCAAGTTGGACATTAAAAATGACTCCGCGAAAGTCATAAACGAACATTTGACCTCCTCACCCTTAGGGCATCTACTAAAATTTGCTAAAAATCGGATTCAGAAACCTTCGAAAAACCCCCCGGCCCCTGTAAAGCTTGAAACACGCTTAAACAATATGTTAATAAAAGCCTCGCCGCAAATTTGCCCACTAAATTGAGAATACCCACCCAATTTCGCGCGGGCTTTTTTGTTGGAGCCCAATTCCCCGGAGGCGGCGAAGTGTCGACGGATGCGCGACTGCCATTTTTCAAACACTTTGGACGAACTCATCATCCGTTTAAAGGGAAAATTAAAATTTTACTGATAACAATACCCGGCCGCCGCTTTACTAATTTGCCGGCTTTTCGCGGGAGTAGATTGCGTGTGGGAATCGCGTTATGAGGGTTGTGGGTAAAATGTCGAAAAAGCAAGAAAGAGGTAAAGGTGGGGAAACTGAAAGAGGTAGTGTCTGAAGTGCGGCGCTCAGATTTTATTGAAGTTTAACGCAAATTTAAATTAAATTTTTTAAACTTTTTTTTAGTCATAAATTTAGCAGAAATCAAAATATTTTTTGCAAATCTACCCAAAAATTGCCTTATTTCTAACGTATAGGGCAATGCTTTTTTTTATAAAAAATCACTTTTTTTCCGTTTGAGATTCGAAAAATATGGCTTACAAGTGCTTTTCTTTGTCACCGCTCTCCGCCTTTCGCGTACTAAGGATTTTTGAATATCTTGTCTGCTTCTCCAAAACGTGAGTTAAAATTTTGAGAAGCAAGCCCCATTTGTGCGAAAAGTTTGATATGGAAAGTACGGGTTTGGAGTTACCGGTCGAGACAATGGAGTTACAGGTCGAGACATATCAAAAACGATCGCAAAAGTTTTCTGATTCAGAATATGTTAAAAGCAGCTGCCCAATGTTGGTTTGTAAGAGCGAAAAAACCCATCAGAACTTTTCTTGCAACACCACGCAAATTCCCAATCTTTACACTGGAACTATTAATTAAGGTGTAGTATTAATCAAATTTGATATGTTAGGGCTTGTCAAGATACCAAGAGTTTGCTTTAGTTCAAAACAAAACTTTTGAATCGGTAAAGACTTGGTCAAAAAGGCATCTGCGTGGTGTTGCAAGAAAAGTTCTGAGCCTTTTTTTCGCCTTTACAGACCAAAATTGGGCTGCTAATTTTTACATATTCTGAATCAGAAATTGCGATTTTTTTGAGATATGTATGTCTCGACCTGTAACTCCATACCCCCATAGAAGCACTTTTTTTTGAGAACGAAATGTGAGCGTCGCACTTGGCACACCTCCTTCGCGAGTTCAGCAACTGAAACTAGGTCTTTCAGGTTTCAGAGGCTTAATTATCCGTCAACATATCCTAATGGTATCTTCCCTGTGGAAACCCTCGAAACTGTTAATTTCGTTTTGAAGGAATTAAACCGGTTTGTTTTAAAAATGGCCTCAAACGGCAAACCCAATAATTATTTCTGTATAATTCTTATCCCGTTGTAAACAGAGTCCCATATATTATAGTATATATTAAACATATTAAAATTAAAGATATCTTTGACTTGTTTTTTCAACATTTTTACCTTACGTAGACAAGTTTGGATTAGGATCCAACTTGTTGATTTCATTGATCTTTGAATATAATCCTTATTAATCCTGTAGGATTTTTGCAGGAAACATCAAATTTGTCTAACAGGAAAGTCGCTGATATGACTTTTAAACGTTTTTTTAAAAACAGAGCTGAATGAAACTTGACACAAACTTTGATTAATTTTTTCTAGGATATATGCGATAGTTAAAGATTTTTTGATTGGACAATGATGACTTTGAACCGTCTTTTTGCGGCTTTGCGTTTGTAAATTTCAGGCTCTCAGTTACTAGAGCAGAGTAAAACTTTCCTATTATACAAAATTTTAAAAATATTCCGTGCAGAAACAGTAAATTTAGACCCCAAAAAGGTTTATTTCTCCACTGAGTGGAGGCTAAAATGTTCGGTCAAAACTGGGCTGGTTCAGAGTCCGTTGAGTCCGTAAACTATACAAAAAAAGAAGTTTAAAAAATCTCAGTGTCCCAATGAAAAGTTTGCCATGACATCTGAGGAGTGTAAAACAATAATTTTTGATGAAAATCGTATCGCATTTTTTTTTGTTTTTTCATTTTTACATCCTGATTCCTCAATTTTTGAAAATTTTAAACAAAAAAATGAGTTTAAAAAATCTAAAAATTTCAAAAAATTATTTTTTTTTATTTATTTTCTTTTCCAAAATTATAGAAAAAACCAAGAGATTACATAAAAAATCCCTGAATTTCATTTATTTTCAGCTACTCGAAAACCAAGTGCGACCAACATAAAAAAAAAAAAAAAAAAATAATAATAATCTCAACACTATTTTCAAAAACCCACCTGATTAACCTGCCGCCGTGGAGACTACGTTTTCTCAGCGGATTTGCCAACCTCCGGTCTCTGCAACAAACATGGTTACCATTATCCGCAAAAATGCGCGAAAATGTCCGAAAGATCTCGTGGATTAATTTGAAAACAAAAATTTGAGCAATTTATAAAATTTTTTCGAGATAAATTGTGGGTGTCAGAGTCTGTGGGGAGAGTCGTAGATTGCCAAGCGAGAGATTTATCATCGAGATTTTAATAACACTCTGGGTATTTACAGAAAAAAAGAGGCAGGGGCTTAGGGCAAGGGGAAAAGTTACATTACCAGATGGGGAATAGCATTAGTTATTATTGGTTTTTGTAAAAAACAAAAATTTTATGTTTTTTTTATTATAAATAATTTTTTGGCCATTTGTGATGATTTGTTTATCGGCGGGAAATGCATGAAGACGAAGCTCAAATTTCATAAAAAAAATTAGACAATGTCCGGCATGAGTCACATATTAGTTCACAAAAGTTTTTGCTTGCGTTTTGCAGGTTTAGCTGACAAGGGAAGTACTCCAAGTGCGACGCTCAGATTTTCCTTAAACTTTGCACACACGTCGGGCATGGACTAAGTATCAATTGCTGAAAGTTTTAGCTCGCGCTTTGCAAGCGCCGCCGAGATATCGAACGATTTTTGCCGCCGAGAGAGTAGGCTGAACGCGGAGAGCGGTCAGAGACAAAAGCGCTTTTTGGCCATAACTTTGGCAGTTTCGTGCGGAAAAATTTGATTTTTTGTAGAAACATTATCCTTTATGGTTGAAATAGGCATGAAACTTTTCGTGCCGAAATTCCGCAAAAAGTCCTAAATTTTCGCCGACTTTTGAGCTAAAAATCTCAATTGTTTCTGCAAAGCGCGAGCTGGGATTCTCGCATATATCTTAGAAAAAATTATTCTAAATTTGTGCCAAGTTTTATCAAAATCTGAGCGTCGCACTTGGAGTACTTCCCCTGTAAGTTTCATGATTATCTGAGGGTCGCAATTGGAACACTTTTCCCTGCAACTTTTTTTCAAAGTTTATCTTCTCCATTTTTTTTCTGGAAACATAAAAATTTTTAAAACAGCCAAATTTTTAGTCACCAAAAAAACGAAAAAATCCATTGAAGCCATCAAAAAAATTTCAAAAATTTCACGTCCTCCCTAAATTCTCTTGAATAAAATTACAGTGTTTGAAAACAAAAAAAGGAGCCCTCAATGTTTTTCCGGGAGTGCATTCCAATGTTTCCATTTTTATGAACAAAAAACAATTCAAATTATCATAAAAACATGGATACTGAGAGGACAAAGGAGGGATGAACTTTTTGAGCACTTGCCTTTTTTGGCCAATCTGTTAAAAGGTTTGCGGACGCTCAGCGAAGGCTTGGCGGAGGCTTGGAGAAGGCTTTCAACTTTAGCGCTTATATAACGTTAGCTATAGCTAGCCTCGGTTTTTTACACCGCCACCTGATGTAGCATAGAAAAGACGAAGATTTTCTTCCCAGCATCGATCCGTAAGCTATATTCGAAAATTATTGTGCAAGTAAAATACCTCAAAATAAGACATGAACTATTCTAGGACTCGATCAATCTTATTACATGTTTTTATTAATTCAGCCTTCTCATAGACTCACCCCTGCACAGCGTTTCGAACATTTTTTCCGCCGCCGATCGGTGTCGAAAAAAGGAAAAAATGAAAACTAGTGCTTACAAGTCGGTGTACAGGGTGTCCAGAGAAATGTGCCGGAAAGTTTTTGTCGATTTCTTGGCGCTCAATAAAGATATCCGAAAAATTCTTTTTGCAGGATAAAGAAGAATATGGGCGGTTTTTTGTGCAAAAGAATCATTTTCTCCGCCAGCCCGGAAGGCAGTGTATTCGGCGGAGGCTTTTGATCGCTTTTTTGATCATCGCACCAACTTTAAACGCTTTATTATGAACTTTGATGGTTGAAACAAAGATATTTGCATATTTTCATGTTTGCCAAGTGTTCGGCGAAGGTATGGCGGACGCTCGCCGAATCGGCGGAGGCCATAACTCATCTGCGGACAAGACATGGTCCAACACAATTTTCATGGCCTGGCTAGAACACCCTGCTGGCTTCGTATGCTTTCGAAAATTTTGTCACCAAGCTTTAGCAGAAGCTAAGCCATCGGAAAACCACTTGGTGCACCAGAAAACAGCAAAATATTTTTTTGTTCAAATTTCCTTTTGCCTTGCTGTTTCAAACCTCCGCACGGTGCACTCGAACTTTATCGGTGATGCAGCGACAGGCTGCACCGTGCAGTCGCTATATGGGATCGCACTGCGATGTCGCTGTCTGTGTGATTTATTGCGTCAAAAATTTGAAGACTTTCCGGAATTTTCAGCATCATAATAAAGCGTTTAAAATTGGTGTGATGGCCAAAAAAGCGATCAAAAGTCTCCGCCGAATACACTACTTTCCGCGCTGGCGGAAGAAATGATTCTTTTGGACAAAAAACCGCCCAAATTCTTCTTTATCCTGCAAAAAGAATTTTTCGGATATCTTTATTGAGCGCCAAGAAATCGACAAAAACTTTCCGGCACATTTCTCTGGACACCCTGTATATTTGGCTAGCCACAATAGATGTAACTAAACTAAAAAGTGGTTATTAGACTATAAGAGATTGCCATTACACGTATACAAACTACATCATCATACCTTATGTTAATGTTGAGAAAATGATGATAAATGATGAATTCAACCTTCAGGTAAAAAAAGACTTCAGGTAAAAGGCCCTGCTCCAACAAAAAATCAATGCAACCAAAGCTATCGTCCACTCAAACTACATATCGTTGACCCGAAGAGTCGTAGCGCCTCTTTGCATGTTCAATATAGTATGTCAAGGACTCACAC